GTTAGGAGATGTCTAAATATTTAACGTATTTTTCCATTTTAATTATTAATAAATTATCTGTCTTTTTTATATCGTTTTCTCGTTCATTCTCTAATCATTTTTTCACTCATTTTGGTTGTATTTTTTTATATTGAGAAACTAGTGTCTAAAATTATGTGAACTTGGCTCAAATTTTCTACTGTTCCCAAATATTATTATGATATCAATGACCTGTGATTACTGTATCAGCCACATATTATCTATTGAGAACTGAACTATCCTCGACTATAGATTACAGAATTGATTCTTTAATTGAAAAAATACAGGACCTTAACCTAAGTTGATTCCTAAATATAATTAACTTTGTCTCCCAAATTTATAATTTTATTTTTAAAATGTTCCTATTGATTGCAATGAGTTTCAATCAAGAGGTGATTTTTCACTGTATATGATCAAAGAAGGATAATTTAGAAAAGTAAAAACATTTATTATAAATAATCAACTTAAATAATTTTTTTAATATTCTCAAATTAGTTATTGAGCTCCTGGTTTAAGGATGGAAGGTAGGATTTTCTTTTGTTTTTTTGTTTTTAACTCTAATGAATTAGATTATATTTGTTTCCATCTGCAAACTCGAAGAAAGATATCTTGCTACAAAACGACACCTGCACAAATAAACTGGATCCCTTGTAAAAGGGCTTCACGTGTTTGGGCCCCCAGTTAAAATAGCCTCAGAGTACCAAAGCCCGTTTATCGAAAGAGGCCCAAGAGACCAAGTTACAGGGCCCATTCTTAATAGAGCCTCACCCTTCAAATGCAAAAATATTGTTCCATGATACTATCTCTCTTTTTTTTGGGTGCCTGATCCATGATCCTATCAGTTATTATTTTTAGTTTTTAATATAAAAGCTAGTTGACTAATTTGAATATGTTAAAAATAATTAATTAAGTTAATTATTTGTAATAAACAGGGGTTGTCTTCCTTAAAATATCATTGCTAATCATATGTATTAGTTAGAACTACCATGTGATTCAGAACTATCATGGAATGAAACATTTAATATGTACAATTACTATAAGAATTACCTTGAAAAAAAATATAAAAGACAAAATACATTACGATTTTATATTTAGGACTAAATTAAAAATCAAACTAACTTTTATATTAATGATTGGAGATAGTATTTATTTATTTAGTATCGCTCAGTTTTCAAAAGTCACTTAAGGATTAATCAATTCAAAGTGAACATGATGGGATCGCATGAGTATAAAGCTCTTTTAGCAACAATTTTCTCCATACACAAAACTATGCTTGAGAAAAACAAATGCTGAACAACCTGAACCAATTATTATTGATAAAATTATTTTTTTAAAAAAAAAATTAAAAGATCAACAATCAGTTTTTGCAGTCGTAGCGGGAAAAAACTGGGCCTCTTCCTAAATAACGAAAAAAAAAAAACCATCCTCTCCAATTTTTTTCAAAGTCAAACTTCCTGTATCCACTTGGCTAAATTGGCATCTTTCTTTCGTTGTTACTTCATCATACTTGTCCTTCACGCACAAGTAATCTTTTTTCACGGATAACAAAAAATAGTAAGCATCAACAACTTATTACATTATACAAAATTCAAAAAGACAGCAAGGATCTCCTTGTAGGTAGCATGATAATGCTTTTCTGACTCCTTGAATTGTCCGCTTGCATGTCCACAGTAAAATCTCTTTCCATCCATCTCTTCAATTAAGACAGCTCCCCAAAAGTCATCACTAGCATCACATAAAATTTCAACCTTTCCGAAAAATTGTAAAGATTGTTGCTAGAGACGCTTCGCCTTCTTCTCCAAGATAAACCAAGCTTTGATTAAAAAACAAACGGATTTCGACTTTATATTAAATTATCTGATACACAGTCGAACTCTCTAGTATAAATTTCATGGTTTAAGAGTTATCAAGCGTCAGACATCCTTACTTCTAAACATGGATGACACAGTGCTATATCCACTACTGCTAGCTTTGCTGGGTCTGCTCTATTATGGGGTCCTGAGGGGCTTAAATTCCATTTGGTGGCAACCCAAACTGTTACAGAGGCACTTAAAGCAACAAGGAATTATGGGTACCGCTTACAGGCCTCTGATTGGAGACATGAAAGAGTATGTGAAGCTCATAACTGAAGCTTGGTCCAAACCTATGAATCTAGACCACAATATTGTTTCCAGAGTTGATCCCTTCACTCTAAAGAATGTGCAGAAATATGGTAACTTTGTCCTGCCTTATGCTCCTTGCTCATTTTAGTTTCCTTATATTCATTTTACGGAGTTTGAAATTGTAATTAATCAGTGTGAGTGTTTATGTAAATCTCACACGTAGTGTGATAGAAAGGCATAACGATGACAATAATTCCACCAGAAAAGCTAGAGTTTATTCAAATCTCCCATTAACTGAGTATGCGAAGAAACTGTATGTACAAAAGGCCAATGAAAACAAAGAAATCGAACCAATGAGAAGCAGACATGCATGGTGCGAGAATCTATTTTACGAGGTTCATTTACGAGTCTATATTTATCAGATTAGCATGTTTTTCCCGTATGTTTTGCATATTTTGAATTCCTCAGGGAAGATATCAATGTTTTGGTCTGGGAAAAGTCCAAGGTTGATCATCAAGGATCCAAAGCTGATGACTGAGGTGTTGTCTAATAAGCTAGGCCATTTTGGAAAGCCTCCATTGAATCCAAACATTCTCATCTTAACCAGGGGATTGACATCTTTAGAAGGTGATATTTGGGCAAGACGCAGAAGAATTCTTAATCCTGCATTCCACCTAGAGCGATTGAAGGTACCATTTTGATAATCATCTTCCTGGGCAAAATCTACGAGAAATAAACTATTCTCCTGACATGAGGAGTGTTTTTGAATGTCTGGTTTTTTCGTGAAAGGGTATGTTACCAGTATTCTCAACCAGTTGTAGCAGTATGATAGAAAGATGGCAGAACATGACTAATCTTGAAGGAAAATGTGACATTGATGTCTGGCCGGAACTTCAAAAGCTTACTGCCGATGTTATTTCTCAGACAGCATTTGGTAGTAACTATGAAGAAGGGGAGCGTATTTTCAAACTTCTGAACGAACTCGTGATTCTGGTTCTTGAAGCCATGCAGACTTTATACCTTCCTGGATTCAGGTTCATGTCTATTTTCTTTACTCTGTTTCCATTTTCACTGAAACTGGCTAACTAAGCTTGGATCACATGTCCATCACTTTAGGTTTATCCCAACAAAGAAAAACCGGAGAAGAAAAGAGCTAGACAGAGAGATCAGATCAGTGTTAAGAGATTTGATACAGAGGAAGAAGCATTCCATGAGACATGGGCAGTCCAGAAACGATGACTTACTAGGTCAGCTTCTGCGACCAATCACAGAGAACAATGGGCACAATGATGGTCGGATGACAGAGGAAGATGTAGTAGAGGAGTGCAAGCAGTTTTACCTTGCTGGCTACGAGACAACCTCAAGCTGGTTGACATGGACAATGATAGTACTAGCCATACACCCAGATTGGCAAGAAAAGGCAAGGAAGGAGGCCCTACAAATTGGTCAGGAGCAGGAATTGGACTACAAAACCATAACAAACTTCAAAATAGTAAGTATTTCAAAAAGACATACCTTGATTCCTTAACATGTCGCAGCTGATACAGTTCTTACTTGATACATATTAAATTGGGTTAGAAAGGTGCATTTCTTGACCAAACATTTCTAAAAACATCATCTTTCTGCAGATAAACATGATACTTCACGAAGTTTTGAGGTTATATCCACCTGTGATTGCTCTGTATCAGCATACATACAAGGAAACTAAAATAGGACACATCACCCTTCCCGCTGGAGTTGATCTTACACTGCCTATTTTGCTACTAAATCACGATCCTGAAATTTGGGGTGATGATGCAGATGAGTTTAAACCACAGAGATTCTCTGAAGGAGTCCACAGGGCAAGTAACGATCAGCCAGGGTTCTTTCCTTTTGGTTGGGGACAAAGGACCTGTATTGGTCAAAATTTTGCCATGCTAGAAGCTAAGATGGCTTTAGCTAAGATTTTACGGCATTTCTCATGGGAGCTCTCTCCTTCTTACGTTCATGCTCCTTACACAGTTATGACTCTTCAACCACAACATGGAGCTCAAATCACATTGCATCAGCTCTGACACGCAAGTTGTTATTTGCACTTCCATGCAGTGAATAAAGCCCTGGCATCGGACCATGTAGTGAATAAAGAAGGGAGAATTCCTGTATCGTCCTAAGAAAAGAATATATTCACTAAAAAGTTCTAGAACAACTGAGCAGGTTTTAAATACAAGTTTCAGTGTAAAAAATACTAATTAGTTTTAGCCGTTCACTTGTTATTAGAACTTTTTAATAATTATATTTGCTCCGTGACCTCATAATAATTCTCCCACTAAAAAATATGTTTGTTTTCCCTCGGATTGATATATGCATTTGGAGTTTAAATTTGCTTGTTAAGTTATGACTGAAATCTAAATCTTCCTCGTACAGAAGACAATGCCAAGGTCGGTCTTGAATTGAAGCCTCTCTGCTGTTAGTACAATGCATCTTATGTTTTTCTTCGCTCGAGCCGATGGTCATCAAATAAGTAGCTATTGAATAATTGAAATCATACACTTAATGCCAATGAAGGCTAGATATTCGGCTCGTATCCCAGATCAAAAGAAACCAGAGACGCATTTCTGAAACATAAGAGATTCTTTTTTTTTTTTGGGGCCTGAAAACATAAGAGATTCTATCCAATGTTCCCAAAACATCAGAAGCGCTGAAAAAACTGATGTTTTGTTAGTTATCATTTTGAATTACTTCAGGAAGAAATGAGAAAAGCAGATCCTCAATCCATAAATTTCAGTCGCTTCTTAATGTGAGAAATTCACGCCGGTAATACCCGGGGAACAAGGAATCTCAAAAGTAAGAATCACAGAAAGAGATCCCATCTTGTTCTTTTGCTCGAGTATGCCATGAATTCCTTTGCAACCTCTTTTCTTTTGTTCAATCTAAGACATAAGTTCAAAATTTTTCTCACTTCCTTCTCTTCATTTTTCGGAATAAATAAGTAAATCAATCAGAATTTCTTCAAAGGAAAAAAAAGAAGAACAAACTATATCAGAAACGTATTGAATTCATCACAAATCAGCCACACTCTCTAATATGGCGTCTACGTCTGGAGTTATAATAACATGTTTGCTGATTTCCCCGACAGTGCAACAATTTTTCTCAGCAGAATTGACCACAACAGCATCTTGGGCAAACACACACTCCATGCCAGAGGAAATCTGCAACCATTTGGGAATAACACAGAAAATTAAGTTCAAAGAGATCATCACATCAGTTCACTTGAAAGGAATGGAAATTTCAAGAGTGATAACGCAATTATGGGTTTTGCACGTGACTGAACACCTAATGCAAACTTGGATCTACTCCTCTAATTTAGCTTCCGGATGCAATACTTACATCATACAGAGTATCACCAAGCTTCAGCTTTACTGCACCACTCCTGTATACGAGCAGTTTACCTAACAATCCAGATGGTAAATCGTCCAGATTACACGGCCTTTCCACAGGTCTGGCCCCTACAGGCTTTTTGGAGCTTGAAGGTGCGTCTTGGTCTCCTTCAGTAGCTGATTGTTTGATCATAGGCAAAATTTGTGGCAGCCGAACCAAAAACAAACTTGCCTCTGGATTCTCCTCCTACCAGCAAGTTACTCAGAAAATTAATATTTACGATAAATAAATCGACCTAGAATATAAAGAAATGATTATTTTTGTCCTGATTTCAGATTATTTACCAACAGTCCAAGCTCTGTTGCTGGATTTGATGAATTTTCATCATAAGCTGAGGATTCTGCAGCCTCCCCAAATTCCTCCTCATCAAGAAGTTCTATTACATCATTGCAAATGAAAGACAATTGATATTGCATAAAACAAAATGCCTTCGAAATAACTAAAATAAATCCTCAACTCTGACAGAACAAAAATCATGTTCACAGTTAACAATACATGTAATGGACCAGAAGTCTACAACATTTATACTTCTGTAGCAGGCTGACAAGTCGAGACGTTGACATCAATGACTATGGTATAAAAATTTCCTTACATTACTTTGGTCAACTTTTCTCTCAAGCTTTTTCTTGGAATATACCTGGGTTTCCCAAATAGGGCCTCCTTAAAGGAAGAGTAACTGGATAATAACTGTAATAGTCCTGCAGCAAAGTCCTCAAAGCTTAACTCAAAGAAGAACAAGCACGCACAAATGTGCCTCCAAATATACACATGCAGGAAACAGATAAATACGCGAATACAATTTCCTTTTTATTTGACTCAGAGTGTGCTTACCCATGGTTCTTGGTATTCTTTCTCTCTTACACCTGTGGTAAAAGAATCCCAGAAAAACTGTTATTACAGAGACAATGCGGGGATCCAATAGGCCTGAAGGGATATGAAAGACTGCCTGGATTGCAACGTACCACCGAAGGCTGAACTCTGAGAACTTCCACTTAGACTTCCACCCCAGGGAGTGCCATATGATTTGATTGAAGCTGATGCACCTCCAACACCAAAAGCAATTTGCGAAGCTGACACTGCCAAAAAATAAAAGATGAACAACTAAGTTTTAGAAAACAAAATCAAAAGAATAATGCCTACATTGATGAAAACTTCACCTTGCAAAGCATCATTCACTTTGACTTATGAGATTTCTATGTCTTAAGTGATAAGGGATCAATAAACCAGAGACACAAAGCATTTAAATTGTGACTTGAACTTCACTTTTGATGTGTAACGAATCTACAAAGGTACCTAATAAAACAAATTTCTGATTCATTTACTCCGATTAAACAGAAGTATAGAGTCTATTTGACAGTGAAGTTGTCATGAACCAAAAGAAGGATTAATCGTAGGCTTAACATGGTAAGAAATTGATAACAGAAAACCAGCCTCAGCTCGATACAATGAAATTACATAAAATGGATCAGAGATCTAATAACAGAATGAAGAAACAGACTAAACCTTTTTTCTCAGCCTTAGGCTTTGCTCTCATTGAACTCTCCTGCAAAAAATGAAGAAATTTTCAACAAGGCATAACAGAGTGAAAAAGAAAATTGAATTAGGAAAACTAATGAAAACGAAAGTACAAATACATTAAAACGGCGCAGCAAGTCCCTGGCCTGAACAGCATCCGCATCATCAACAACTTCACTAATGAAACAACCCAGTTAGGAGCAGAGCAGTCAAGAGGATAATTAAATTGAGATGTGTCACTAAATAACAAAATGTCACAAACGTTTTAACTTCAGCCTTTGGCACTCGACGAGGAGGAGCTTTCGGTGCAAATTTTACCTGCAACAGTTCAAGTTATTCATAGAATATCCAAAGAGCACAACAAAACAATAACAAATGAAGAGTTGAATAATAAACGCATTCAAAACTACCTTCCTTGGAGCAGGAGGTTTGCCTCTTGAAACGTCTGAATCCATAAGAATATTCTTTGATCCTCGAAAAAAGTAAAAGAAACATCAGGCAAATGTTATATTGCATAAGCTTGAAAAACACAATCATTGATTAAGGACAAGTGAGAAGCTAACATTGGTGTTGATGTATCAGATCACTGACTCAAATCAAATACACTACTAGCGGTTACAACTAACAAGCTCGTCTATGGTTATTTCAAGCGTGCTATTTTGAAGTGAAAATCCGAACCAATGCACGATACCATACCGGTTCGCACTAGACGCAGACGGTGGATATTTCTCCCCTGGCCTACTACAGTGAGCGTGAAGTGTTGAAGGAAACTGTCAAAAACCCTACACGACGTGGGAGCAAAAATAGCGCACGTAGTCTACAAGCCTGAAACTTGGCAGAACCGACCTTTTGGGTTCTTAAGTAGATGGTGGGCTTTGTTGATTGATTTCGACGTCATGAATTCTAGGTTAACTTTGCATATATCAACCATATTTTATAAAGTCAATGAAAAAATTTAAAACAATTTAATTAACACCAATATAAAATATAAAATACAAATTAAAAATCTATCTTTGATATTTGATATGTTAATATATTTATATAAAAAAGACACATGGCGATGTGTAATTAGAAGATCTAATATAATGAATATAGTCTCTAAAATATCATATATTTAATATAATTCTATTTATGATATCAAAATTCACATATATTTGAATTATTATCTTAACATTTCATTTGATATTTTAAATTTAAGAACTATAAATTAAATTTATATTCTGAAAAATTATTTTCTTAAAATGCTCTTTGCTTTTTTTTTTTCCTGCTCATTTTTTGCTAGTTATGTTAGCAGTAACACCATGTATCACTTTCAGATGAGGTTATAAGTTCGAACCCAGTATTAATATTTGTATGCGTGTGTGCATTTAATTTAATTGTATTAAATGAAAAAGGTAATATTATAATTAAATATACTCCCTCCAATTCATAATATATATTGTTTTTAGAAGAATGACTTGGTCTAAGTTACAAGTCACTTGAAAAGTACTTATTTCTTTTTCATCAAATTTGTTCCTGTAATTAATATTTAAATGTATCTTCTTATGTTTTTTTTCTCTCATTCACAACCTCATTTAATATAGGTGAAGTTAGAAAAAATAATAAATAAACTTGAAACAAATTTAATGAGTCAACTATTATTTTTTGATATTAATGAATTAGTTAAAGTAGTACATTGTAGACTGGAGAGAGGGAGTGTTATACTTTTAAAATATCGGTGATTATGCTACTTGAGAGTTAAATAAATAACAAAAGCCCACAATTACGATTATTGTTCATTTAATGAACTGTTTAATTGCGATTGCAATCCAATGATTAGAATATCATTAGATAGAATTCGTTATAAAATGCTAAAAGGGTTAATATAATCGTCGTCGTCGCTGGGAGAAGGGAGAAATTGCAGAATCAGACAGCTAGGATAGAAAGCTTCATCGCCAACAGGAAATTTGGTAAGCTATGGTCACCTAAATTGCAAACGAGGGAGTCACCGTTGCTCACGTTCCCGGAGGTTGTGATGATTCCTTCATGAAACAATGAAGTTTGCCGTTGGAATGACGGCTGAGGAATGAAAACACAACCAAACGAACAGAAAATACCTAGTCTGTCTGAGATTCTATACCGTTAGATGACGACCCTTTTGCCGCCAATAAGAGTGACGATGTAATGCTCCATAATATAAATTTAATCATTATCAAATCAAGATTCAAGAATCAATAACAAAAACTAAGGAGATGCGCGTGCAGCAGCTTGATCAATAAGAGGAAAGCACAATATACTACTTTCAGTTCTAATTATAAAACCTCGTTTGTAAACTATAAATAAAGTTTTATAATTAATTACGAAGGTAGCATGACATATAGATTTAGATGACTATATACTTGAAAAGACATTGAATCACAATTCTTCCCACTGGGGGAATTTGAAGGACGCAACAGCGCTGTTTCTTTTGGCAACAAACACAACCAGAAGAGCATCTGGATAATCCTTGCTCCTTTCTCCCTTACCTCTCTTAGCAAGGCCTAATTTTTTTCCCGCTTCACCAGCTAAACCAAAGGTGATCAAGGCGGCTGCATGCAATAATACAAAATCACAAAGAAGCTAGACAGCATGGTATTCAACTTTCTGGGTCCAAGAAAATTGAGAAGGAAAGCTTAATTTGGACGTTTCCCTTGAGTAAAATCCAACCTCTCTTTCTTTTCTTCTCGATTCTCCTAGATTCAAACTTTACTTGAGGGAAGAGAACAGACAGTCAATTAACAGGCGAAAATAGAACCCATTCGCTCTCCCTAATTCCTCACAGACTGCCCGGGTTGTTGTTGCACAATCAGCTGGGCCAAAGCAGTAGCATACTGAACAGCTGTATGTTGCGAAGTATAATTACCCACCAGACCATATTCTGCATAATTTGGTTCCACATGCATGAACTGAACTGGTAATGATTTTTTTGCCACTGCTTCTCGCCACATAATGAGGAACTCTTCCATAAGTTGTCTAGATTTCTCGATTGAAGAAATGGGGAGATACTCAACCTGCAGAAAACCTCAAATATATTAAACAAGGGACAAGTATAAAAACCAACAAAACTATGATTAAGAAAAAAATTCCTGAAAATTCTGAGGGAATGCTAGATTATAGCCCATCCAGCAACTTCTCTTAACAATTTCTTTACTCATACAACTTTCTAACAAAGGCAAATATCAGGCATGTAACGATCTCATGCAGATATAAACAGAAACAGAACTAGAGAAAGATATTTGATTAAGATTTTGGTTTTCGGTAAGAGTCACTTGCCTCCATCACAATTCCTCTCAGGCTTTCAGAAGTGTTGGGGGCAACTTTTCCAACTTTCAGCTGAAAGTCACCCAATTTATACACCACTCCCTGCACCATTAGCATAAACCAACCATGAAAAACGCTGCAGCGCAAAAATAATAACCACCAAGCTCACAAGTCCAAAAGAGAAGATGTCTATCAACCAAAAATATTTATAGGCGCATGCCAACTTTCAAGACAAGCAAACCATCAAATTTGCAAAGTACCTCAAAATTGAGTGCCACCTTGGACTTGTACGATTGCAGCTTCTCCATTATAGTCAGAATTGAAGAATCTGCTTCAAGAACGATCCTCTGGCCGCGAATTATGAAGTAGTATTTGTGAGGTTGATCTACAAGCGATATCCCCAGAAAATCACGGGGAAATTCCGCCTGCAGCGACGGGTCTGAGTACAATAACGTCATTCTTGAGAATTGAGATGTCACGATTTCGGGGAAGGAGGGTTTTGCAAAGGATAGGCTTCAAACAAATCAACAACAACATCAGACAAGAACCTCGTAAATTGGGTCGATAGAATGTTAGAGTTGCTTTCCATCTTCCGTCTTTGACGCCACTGATACTCTCAACGCACTGAGAAACTTCATTAAGAATTTGGCTATTCACCATAGTTCCTGCGTTGGGTTGCCAGTGCAAAACCCTATCAAAACAAAACAAAACAAAACGAGAAAACGACAGATTAGAAATTTCATCATTGACTACTGAGAGGGTAATCTCAAAAGAATCGGAGATAAATAAGTGAGAAACCCTCGATTGATTTTGTTAATACCATTTGATAGGCATCCTCCAGCTTGAAGAAAGTATCCAACTAGCACTCCCGCTCTTGCTAGTTGCAATCGCTGGGCAGCGTCGCTCGGGCGTTGGGAGCTGGAAGGCGCCCAGGTAATGAAATGTGCAACCAACATTTTACGTCGTCGTTTCAAACTGATCAGGCGCGGCCCGGTTTTGAAAATGCGTGTCCACCTCTGGCCCGGCACAAATTGATACGTAAAATAATAATAATAATAATAATATTCCACATATAAGGAAAATAATATCACGCGCAAAATATAAAAATTGTTCAATCAGAACCCATAGTAGCTTTCTCTGATTGGTCACTCTCAATGAAAGCATTATTGTAACAACTAACAAGCATAAATTACATGAAAGAAGACAATCCAAAAGGCAGCCATTAGAGTCGCGGAATTCAAAATCTTGTAAGGCCTCTCTTTTAAGGTAACTTTCCTAACATGAGACTCATGACAATACATCATATTATGACAATTCCACACTACAGTATTTCACTTGGCACATAACTTGGCCTCTTATTGGTCTACCCCTCTTGTTAAAACCCTTCGCAAATAGTCCTCTGTAGTTGACTGGCGCTCAATGAAAATACCATTATAACGAGTATAAATTTTTATAAGAACTATACCCTAAAAGCTAACTGTCAGAGTTGGAAAAACCAAAGCCTTACAAGTCCCCTCTTTTAAACTCATGACATTACTCCACCCAAAAATTGTTTTGCTGAAGGACTTTAATTTAAATTGATCTCTTCGACTTAGTTATGTATCAAGTTAACATAAAACAAATTTTTTATTAATCTCCCCCCCCCCCCTGAGGATTGAATAAAATTAGAGTCTGCTTGGCGGTGAAGTTATCATGAACCAAAAGAAGGATTGATTATAGGCTTGAGATGATGAGAAACTGAGAACCAAAAAAAAAAAAAAAAACAGCCTCAACCTCGATACACTGAAATTGCATAAAAAGGATCAATCCTTCTTTTGGTTCATGAACTCTCCTGCGACAAGAAATGCAGAAATTTTCAACATGGAATATCAGAGTGAAAACGAAAATTGAATCAGGAAAACTAGTGAAAATGGAAGTACAAACACATTAAAACGGCGCAGCAAGTTCCTGTGGCCTGAACAGCATCCGTTTATAACAAAATGTCGCATACGTTTTAACTTCCGCCTTTACCTGCAAACGTTCAAGTTCTCCGTCAGATTCCACAGGGCCCGACGAAACAGTGACAAAATCAGGAGTTGAATGGTGAACACATTCAAAAACACACCTTCCTTGGAGCAGGATCTGAATCCATAAGAATAATTTTTGGATCCTTAACAATAGGAAAAAGGACATCGGCCAAATGTTATAGTATATTGTTTAAGCTTGAAAAACACAATGATTGATGAATGACAAGGGAGAAGCTAACATTGATGTTCATGCGTCATATATATGATCGACTCAAATCAAATCATTATGGCTATCTTGAAGTGAACATTTGAACCAATGCAAAATAGTAAATACCACACCTGTTCGCACAAGACGGTGGATATTTCTCCTTCGGCCTACCGTCAAAAACCCTACACGACGATGAAGCAGCGAAATGGTGCACGTAGTCTACGAGCCCGAAACTTTATTAGTGGGAATAATGTTGTTCAAATGGTACATGTGATATTTTAAGGAGAAAATATCAAAAAATTATTTTGAGTTTTAAAATTTCAAATCAATCTTATTTACAGTTTACTATACTTTAATAATAATTAACTATACTTAAAAAGCAAATAACAACACTTTTTTATATTAATTCCTTTTTTGAAATTTTGAAATTCAAGAATTTTTTTTTTGGGGAAAATTTTCACTATTTTAAATTTGTAATGATTAGCATATTGATTCCATATAATCTTACTAAACTCATCATAAGTCTGGCTTCGCTATCGCAGTTCATTTTAAACAACCTAACGAATCCCAATATAAAGTATAAAAGTAAAATTAACATTAAAAATTTCTCTTTTAACGTTTGATGTGCTTCAAAAAAAGAATTCGGGTTCTAAAATATTAAAATATATTATTAATAATTAATTTATGTAAATTGAAAAAAATAGATTAGTGAACAAGATAATGTGAAGGCACTGATAATAAATACATACAATACTTGGGTTTTATTTCTTCTAGAAATCAAATCAAAATCGAAATATAATAATAACAATACAATGCTATTATGAACAGAGAATGGAAACTTAATTTGGACGTTTCCCCGGGGAAAAATCCAACCTCTTCCTTTTTCTTTTTCTTTTTTTCCCTCTACATTCTCCTAGATTCAAACATTACTCAGGGAACAGGCGAGAATGGAAGCCATTCGCTCTTACTAATTCCTCGTAGGCTGCCCGGCTTGTTGTTGTACAATGAGTTGGGCGAACGCAGTAGCATACAGAACAGCTGTATGTTGCGAAGTATATTTATCCAACAGACCATATTCTGCGTAATTTGGTTCCACGTGCATGAATTGACCTGGTAATGATTTTTTTGACACTATTTCTCGCCACATGTTAAGGAATTCTTCCATAAGCTGCCTAGATTTCTCCATGGATGAAATGGGGAGATACTCAAACTGCAGAAAACTTCAAACACATTAAACATGGAACAACTATAAAAAAACCCAACAAAACTATGATTAGGACAAATAATTCCAGATAATTCCAAGGGAATGGTAGATTAGGAGGGGGAAAAAATTCTAGATATTCCACTTTGTTTTCCACCACAACAAGAAGAAATGGGCTGCTCACAACACCATTTTTATATTCACTAGCCCACTTAACATTACAGATTTCCAAGAGCACATTCTTAGTCAAATAGGTTGTGATCAAGCGGCACAAGGAAAACAATCCCAATGATATATTATACAGGAGGACTATCCATGTTACCGATTCTTGTTCAAAACCTCAACTACAATCAACTTTATATATTAATTGCGGCATGTGACGGAAAAGACCTATCTAAAAGCAAACACGCTATTACAATCTCCCACAAAATCCAATATCGAAGTTGCCAGATGTACCACCGTCATTTTCAGTTACAGATTCTTGTTCTGGAATAATGGGAAAAATCAAGTAGTGGATCCAGTGCATCAATTCTTCGCCATTTTTCACCATACTTTCAAGCAGTCTTAGTCAGATGGAAACATAGAAGTCATGTATAAACACCAAAATTCTTTTCCTCTCCCCCCACCAACAAAAAAATAATCAAGAAGTGAAAAGGAAAGAAGTGTTTTTCTTTGGAAAGTAAAACAAATGACACAGTTAATTCAGAATTGACGAAAACTGAATGCTGAGCATAGATGGAAGAAAATGAATTCTGCATGACATGTATGCTTCTGACATATAGAGCATGGTATAGATTACAGCCCATCCAGCAACTTCTAACAATTTCTTAAATTCTACAGCTTTCTAACGAAAGCAAATACAAAGCATGTATCGATCTCAAGTAGATACAAACAGAAACAGAACTAGAGAAAGGTGGGTGGGTGTGTGTGTGTGTGAGATCAAGGTTCATGTTTTCTTACCTCCATCACAATTCCTCTCAGGCTTTCAGAAGTACTAGTGGCAACTTTTCCAACTTTCAGCTGAAAGTCACCAAGTTTATACACCACACCCTGCACCATTAGGATAAACATTTAGAAACACTTCAGCACAAACATAATAACCACCAAGCTCACAAGTCCAAAAGGGAATATTTCTGTCAATCAAAAATATTTATAGGAGCATGCCAACTTTCAAGACAAGCAAACCATCAAATTTGCAAAACTACCTCGAAATTGAGTGCCACCTTAGACTTGTACGATTGCAGCTTCTCCATTATAGTCAGAATTGAAGAATCTGCTTCAAGAACGATCCTCTGGCCGCGAATTATGAAGTAGTATTTGTGAGGTTGCTCTAGAAGCGATATCCCCAGAAAATCACGCGGAAATTCGGCCTGCAGCGACGGGTCTGAGTACAATAACAGCATTATTCAGAATTGAGGTGGCATGATTTCTGGAACGGAGGGGTTTTAATGAATAAGACTTCAAAGTTCAAACATATTAACAATGCCATTAGACAAGAACCTCGTAAATTGGGTCGATAGAATGTTAGAGTCGCTTTCCATCTTCCGTCTTTGACACCATTGATGCTCTCAACGCACTGAGAAATTTCATTAAGAATTTGGCTATTCACCAAAGTTCCTGCGTTGGGCTGCCAGTGCAAAACCCTTAAAACAAAACCAAAAAAGAAAAACGAAAGATTAGAAATTTGACTATTGGTAGGGTACTCGTAAAAGAATCGAAAATAAGGGAAAAACCATCATTTGATTTTGTTAATACCATTTGACAGTCATCCTCCAGCTTGAAGGAAGCACCACTAGCACTTCCGCTCTGTAAATTGCCAGGCAGCGCCGCTTCTCACTCGCGAATCTAGAAGGCAGCGAATGGATTTGCAGTTGCAGGGGCACCGCCCAGCATGTTACGTCGTCGTTTAAGAGGATCCGACTAGACCCAGTTTTAAAATTTGCGAGTCCGGCTCTGGCCCGGCAATAATGATCCGGCTTATGGGCTGGTCAGGCCTGGGTCCATATTATTTTTTTGAAAGTCCCTCACAATACCACTGATCTCTGCAAACCTCAGAATAACTGAGACCTAATGAAAATACATTAAAAAAAAAATATTAATTTTCTCGGCAAGCACATATTAGCATATACACTTGTATTATTACTATTTCTTCTGCAGGAAACCTTTTGTTGGGGAACCTTCCTTTGTTCATCATTGCAAACTTTTGCAATGCAATTTATAAGCAGAATAACCAACTTAAGTACTCTATTGTAATTGTCTTTTATGTATTTGTGTATATATATTTTTGTTTCCACTTAAAAAATTGCAGAGGGGAATTACTCATGCATGCTTCGAAAATACTACTTCTGAGTCTTAATATAAGACCTCGTTTGATTTTTATTTTGATTCTAATTATAAGACCTCAATTCACTTTGTCTCTTATATTTATATATTTTTTTTCCAAAATAGTCCCTCTAATAATGGTAGTTCTAATCAATAAATTTAATTAGTAAGGGTATTTTAGGAAAGACAACACATATTTTTTTACAAATAACTAACTTACCTTATTTTCTTAATCTCCTCAAATTAATCAACTAACTCTTATAATTATAATCGGAGGTAGTATCTTATCTGCACTTTAGTCATTTTTTTAATAAAATTTATTAATTTATGCTGGATTACACACACACTATGGTAGTTCTTTTAACACCCTATAAATGTCAAAATTTTCTTGCTACGTATTTTAACGTATGTGAGGACGATTTTCAACCCAAATCATGCCCATTATCATATGATGTCCGAAATTAAGGAGCATCATATTTTGTTTAGCGATTGTTGATATATATATATAATTTCAAATGAGTAATTTAGCTTATTAAATTAAAAATAACTTGGTTACCAGACAAGTACGTAACACTCTTTTTGTTGGCCTCAGGTCCGTTATAGTGTTTAGCATCGTTATTATCAGTATAGATAAATATTTCTTTTCAAAAAATTAATAAACAAAATACCGGCCCAAGACTGTAATTTCCATCTGACGATGCAGGAGGAGGAACAGGGGAAGGAAAAGAACAGATAAAAGGCATTGAATTAAATGTCAGGTGAGGTAAATCACAAAACAATAATTTAGAATAATATAAATGACAGAAAGAACAGAACTGAAAAAGCTACACAGAATTAGAATTAGCATTGGCATTCCACTGCGTTACACATTGGACCCCTTCACGGAGACACATCCATTTGATCTTGCATTTAAACACATTCTAGAGAAAAAGACCGCCTGACAGAATCTGATGAACCCCACTTAGTTCATCTTACATTATTGGCCTTTCATTCAGGGACCACATTCTTGAAACCTCAAGCATCTGCAAAAATCAATGGAAATTTTTAGAGATATGACAGGAGAAAAAAGTGGTGTTGGGTATGTGTGTTTGATTAATTTTTTTACCTTGGTGGGTTCTGAAATTGAAGCTTGGAAAACGGCCATGGTCAGAGGTGGTGGTGGGAATGGAAATTGAAAGCTGGGTTGTGGATGATTTGTCGTCCAGATCAAGCCACGAGTTTTTGCTTTTGTTGGGCCATTCATCCAAGAAGCGATGAACAGTCTTCTGATTCTGAGGTTCTTCTGATTTCCCCAGTCCCAGCATGTAGCAATCTTGATCTTGCTGGTTCGTACTTCCGCTAAGGTTCTGATTTTGAAGCTGCAAGGAAGAAGAGTACTCGGTGGACAAACCAGAGTAGCTCCTCTGTTTCGAGGAAGACGATGAGTTCATTGAGAGTGGGGTGAGATGCCACGAAGAATCTTCCATTGATGAAGCAGAGAAGCTTCTCATCGTCCCAGAAGGCTCTGTGAAGAAAGCATGCTCGTCCACCTCTTCCTTCAGCCCATCATAAACATAACCACTATTCCTACTTCACCAAACACACAAGCAAGCAAACAAAAATCACTAACAAAGAACCATGAACCAGGGATCAAACGAGAAGAAAAAGAAAAGTCACTAACAAGTGAGAAGCACTATCATCTTGTAAAGAGAAGCTGAAACCAGATGAAGAAGATCTTGAAGGCTGGTGATTATAGAGGAAGGAATGATGATTGTGGGTGGGGTCAGATAGAGGTGAGAGGGATGAAGAATGAGTTGTGAGGGATAGTGAAGGAGTGTTGTTGCTTTTTGTGATTGTCGAGGAATTTGTGTTGTTGGTAGGCGGGTTTAACGTTGTTTTAAAACCTTGTTGTTGCTGCTGCAGGGGTTTTCTCAAACGGTTATTTCCTCTGTGCATGTGTCTCTCGCAGTACTTTGAATTTGGGTAAGCTTCTTTGGAGCACCTCCACTTCTTCCCATCCGTTCTTCTGCACCTCCCTGGTTCTGTGTCTATCTTCCTTCCCGGGCCCATCTCCAAGTAGTTCCACCCAACTTTTAATTAACATAACCCCATTAATTCCTCGAACATCCTTAAGCACGAAACTGTTATATAAGGCCTAAATTCATCCACAGAGAAAGAGAGAAGAAACAACTTACAGTGCTGATGAGGTGGGAGAGACAAGAGCCTGGAAGAAAGAGGAGAGTCGAGAGAGGCCCTTTTGATGGAGAAGACGAGATCAGGAGGAATAGGAATACCTGAAGCCATGTACTTGAAAACAAGAGCTTGATGCTCAAGCTCTTGCCACTGTGATGGAGTAAAAGGGAACCTGTTCCTTCCTCCGTTCATCACGAACCAGAGAGTGGGAGATAGATACTAGGACGAGAGAGAGAGAGAGGAGAGAGACGAAAACAAAACACAGAAACGGAATCACAAGAGCGATGATAGGAAGCAACAAAAGAAACAGATCTGGTTTAAATTAGCACACTTGACAGTGCAGTGCGGAGTCGGCTTTTTCGGTGAGCAATAGCAGCAGGGTGTGTGGGGATTCTTCTCGTCTCACTTCAATATTCAATGTTTAATAAAAAAAAGAGAATACTACCGCGTTATATATGTCGAGTCAGATATGCGTATGGCAGTATAGAGATGAGCATGAATGTAACATGGATAAATAGGCGATGGAGGAGTAGTAGAGTAGGTATATTTATTTCAGGGACCATTGGGTTACAGAATCTTCTGTACATGAATAAAACTAGTGGTTCTGAATTCAGAGGTGCATGCCATGCCTTTCTCTTTCTCTGATCTTATTATGACTGCACCTCTCTGATGATACTGCTTCTGCAGGTGCAGCAGCAGAAGCAGCAGGTAAGCTGCGTTTGTGTCAGGCTCTTGTCTCTGATATCTCTACGGAAATCCTTAAACTAAAGGGGGGAGAGGGGGGAAGAGAGAGAAAAGCAAAGACCCCAAAACAAAACAAAAGAGGGAAATAGTTTTTATTGGTATCGCAGCTTGTACATGAGAGGGAGAGAGAGTAGTATTATTGAATTGAAGAACTGGTCTCTCCCAGAAGGTAATGCCTGTCTGAGAAGATTGTACGGTTTCAGCTTTTACTGCTACTAACTCTTTTACTTTTTCTGTTCCTTTACCTCAGAGTCTCAGACCCCGTCACTCACCATCTCCTTGCCTTTTTCCATCTCGCCATATTGAGAGTGCCACTCACTCACTCCCACTTTTGGCCCTTACAGCACACTCACACTCATCACGTTACTGTTCCTAGTAATTAATAAACTGGTTGCAAGGTTCCCTCCAACAAAAGTTATCTGTTGAACTCTGTTTTTTAATTAAGCCTAGCTATGTAGATTATAGATTAGTTTAATGATGAAAAAGGGCTGCAAAGCACGTGTTAAGCAACTTGGTCAGTTTTGTTTAGGAGTGGCAGAACCGCAGAAGACAACATAAACTAAGGGCATGTCCATATCATGTTGCGACAATAGACTCATAGGCTTTCCTGATATATTATAGTAGTATCATGTTTTCTGACTGTCATCAATTTCCCAAAATACTATACGTTCTTCACAGTCAAACTTATTACTAATTGCTCTCTGCAAACCTTGTTGTTATTATTAGTACAGAGAGAGAGAGAAAGAGAGGTGGTAATTAATTAGTTGGGTTAAAGCGAGATAGAAAGAAGTAGAGGGAAAGGGAAAAGATTAAAAGTGATGGATTTTGTGGGTGGTGGATTGCAGATAAGAACGTGGAGTCAGGAAAAACGGGATGAGTCAACAGAAGGTTTGAAGAGATAGAGAGAGAGGCAATGAACAAGTTTGGTTGGATTGAATTCTGTGGCAGCCATTCCTGTAATGAAAACAATGGCAGGGACAGTACTGTACTGTTATGCATTCTTTAGCACTCTTATCCTCCTGCCACTGGTAGGTCCATTCCTTTTTCACCTTTTTTTTTTTCGGTTTAAGAAAATACAGAAAAATTACAATCAATTTTTACACCAGAGAAATAATTACTAAAAAATCTCAATAACAACCTTAACAGCCTATAATAACAAGTTTTATAGTGAGAATGACAACTTTTGAGATTTATTTTTTAATTATTTTCTTGTTTGAGAGCTCATTGTAATCCTCTCAAGAAAATACTTTTTTTTTTTTTCATTTTTCTAATGTCTCGACTTAAGCAAAGTTCCAACTTATTGGGTGGTTTTCGGTCAAAAAAAAAATTTATTGAGCGTTTGGGAGGGCTTTCTTTTTCTTTTCTTTTTTTTCGTTTTTTGAATTAGATGGGTACACACTACCACAATCAGTATGATATTATAAATGAGAATTTTTTTTTACCAGAACAGTATAAATGAGATCGTACTTATAGTCTCTCGCTTACAACAAAATTTTCATGTCACATAAGATTATAAGGTAGGGGTGAATAAAACCGAATCGTAATCGAATACCGAATCCAACCAAATTTAATTTAATTTTTTTGGTTGGGTTAATTCGGTTTTTTTTCCGGTTAATTATTTTGGTTATTTCAGTTATCGACGTTCAGTTCGGTGTCTTTTAAAGTATTTCGGTTATAACTGAATAACCAAAATTTATTAAAAAAAAACTATTTTTTTTATTTTTTAATCTTTCTCTATTTTCTTTCTTTTTGACCGGCCTCCTTATTTTTCTTTTCCTTTTTTGACCAGTCTCCCTTATTGTTAAAAAATCGAATAACCATGTTATGTTACATATAAAGAGAGCTTGGAGGCTAGTTGGATTTATTTGGACTTTTGTTATGCTGTACTAAAATTTTGAATGTTAATGTTGCTGCATTGGTAGTTTGTTTGTTTGGACTTTTATTATGTTTGAATTTAAATTTGTTATCAATTTGTATGCTCTTTTGGATCTTGTATGGGTTTTCAAATAGATTATTAGTGTTTGGACTTTTATTATGTTATACAAACTACTGTCATACTGTTTGGAATAGAAAAGGCTAAAAAAAAAAAGCTCACTAATCGAATAAACTAGCTAACCGAAACAAAGTTATTTCGATTAGTTGTTGCACTTTGGTTTCGTTTCGGTTATGTAAATATGCACATTTTCTTTATTCAGTTAGTTCGGTTATCACTGTTAATCAAATTGAATAACCGAATGCTCACTCTTATTATAAGATTATTGGTAAGGATGTAAAAAAATTTAGTGATTTATTCCGATTCGATCCAACTCAAGGTGGTCCAGTCTAATCCAAAATCGAGTTCCCATTAGATCAAATTGGATCACAGGCTACCAAACCCAACTTGTTCAAAAAGCAAGCCACACTTTAGATTGAATTTTGGTCTGGTCAAATCTGATATGGATACCTAAACCATAGTTGGATAGGATGGAACAACTTCTAACAATTTATTCTCATAATTCATTTTTTGCTTTTGAAAATTTATTCTCAGAATCTAATCCAAGTATATGTATGTAAAATTCTCCATACTTGAGTTCAATTAATGATCCTATGGTTTAATAGCAAACGGTAGCCTTTACTTGCGCTAGATCACAAATTTGATATTGTATGTTATCACTTATAAAAAGCTCAAATTCAAAAACTTGTGAATTAATTACTTGTCACATATTTTAATTGATTTTGTCTTCTTAATAGTTTTTTTTTAATTTGGAAAACTCTATATTTGTGCTTTCAAGATACTTCAAAGGTTATTTATGAATAAAGATGAAACACCTTAGCTGGACAGTGGATATTTTTCTGGCAAAAAACTGCTGTGTTAGTTTAATAATATAATCAACCTATACTATACTGTATCTTTTATTAAAAAAATTGGGGCATCCAATAAAATCAAAACGAGAAAAGATTAGCATGACAAAAAAGGTTTGCTAAATATAAAAGTGATACTTACTTAATAATTAAAATAAACTGGTATGATTCCATAAGTAATTAACACAATCAAATATTATTATAATTAACATTTAAAGCTAAATGGGGAGATATACCTTATTTATTCTCATGCCTCTTCATTTTTTTTTCCTTCATTTGTGCTGATTATTGAAATCATATTTCCTCTCCCAAATGTCTTTTGTTTTAAAAACTAAAAACTATAAGATTTCCCCTTCCATTGTTGCTTCCTTGTTATTTGAACAAGAAAAAGAAACTATTTTCATTCCTGTCTTTTCTGAGTTTCTCTCCAATCTCCATCCAAACATCCAATATATATGGGGTTAAGGAGGACAAAGAGAATACCAAGTCTTATCTTAGTCCAAAAATATAGGACAAAACAAGTCTGACAAATATGGAAATCACGTTGTCCATTTAAATCCGGCATAGTTTTAATAAAAACATAAAATTATTAGAATTATTAACAACGTAGTTATATGATTCTGTGGTAATAATTAGATACTAGTATGAACGTGGTTAGTGTATCACCTAAATAAACGTAGACTTGAAAGTAAACAAATTGTGGCATTTACCGGAAAGCAAAGAATTGGGTTGGAGTGAAAGGAAGAGGAAAGCAAAGCATGCAGCTTCAAAAATGGAATTAAGAGAGAGAGAGAGAAATGCAAGTACACAAAGGAAGAAAGAGCTTTAAATGTGAAAGAGCAGAAGGAAGAAACCAAGTTACCGAAAACAAGGGGACATTTAAGGATCAAAGGTACAAAAACACACCAAAATGTTAGAGAGAGTGGCACGCACAGGTGCCCCAAATCCCAGTGTCTTTACTGTAGCCATCTGGTTTTAAAGCTACCACCCAGCACCCTGCCACCCTCCTGCTCATTTCATGATTCATGGACCACACCACCAAGCCTCTTTATTATCCATTTAATACTTCACTCCTTACTCTCCCACACAGTGTATGACCCTGTGTATCAGATATCAATGTCCTTTATTTTATTTTATTTTTGTTTTTTTGGTGAGAAGTGAAAGTTCAGGGCTTTTTTTTTTAAAACCATAACACTCATTATCTATTATACTTTTTTTACCGAGATCAAGCTATAATGTTGAGAAATAGAAGTGGTAAGGTAAATGCCAGGGATTGATGACAGTTATAAATGCGACTACCGGAAGAATAAATAAAGAGAAAATTACACACATGTCCCACAAAAGAGATTTTATTTATCTGAGGTCTCACGAAATGTCAAAATTACTGACAGGTCTCAAGGGACCTTAGAGTAATATATTCTATTTGTAAAATGACATTACTGCTCCTCACATTCCAAATTTATATTTGTTCTGTCATTACGATTTACAACCTCAATAGCGACTATTAACAATCCAATGAGAAGGTGTTGAGAACCTAAACAGTATTCGTTAACAACTTATTTTATAGGGTCACATAACCTCCACATAAGAGTAAATTATAACCAAATAGTATAATACAACAACTTTAACACTAAAATAGGAAGCTTTTTGAAATCATTAAGAATTTTAACTAAACCCAATAGGATTATAGCAAAATTTTAATACAGAGATCTATTGACAACCTCAACGTAAGTATTAATAACCTAAGGAGAACTGTTAACAATCTTAACATTGTCTGTTAACAACTAATTTTATAGGATAATATAACCTCTAACTATAACTAACTAAATTATAACTAAATAGTGTTAAAGTTAATCTTATATAGTTGTTAGAGGTTATATTATCCTATAAAGTCAGTTGTTAACAGATATTGCCTAAATTGTCAACAACTCTCCTTGGGTTAGTAATACTTACTGTTAAAGTTGTTAATAGATCTCGGCATTAAAATTTCGCTATAATCCTAGTATATTTAGTTAAAGTTCTTAATGGCTTCGAAAAACTTCTCATTTTAGTGTTAAAGTTGTATTATATTATTTGGTTATAATTTACTCTTATGTGGTTCTATAAAGTAAGTTGTTAATGAATACTGCTTAAGTTGTTAACATCTTCTCATTGGGTTGTTTATAGTCACTGCTGAAGTTGTAAATCGCAACGACAGAGCAAATGTGAATTTAGAATGTGAGGGGCAGTAATGTCATTTTACAAATAAAATATATTACTCTAAGGTCCCTTAGGACCTGTCAGTAATTTTGCCATTTTATGAGATCTTAGATGAATAAAATCTCTTCTGTGAGATCTGTACATAATTTTCCCATAAATAAACTCACAAAAATGTTTGGTTACCCTTCACTATTTCTACATAAGTTTGTGTTTCACAATGTGGGTTAATGAAATAACCTTTTGTTTTCCGCATAGCGAGTGACTCTTAAGACAATTACTATTTTCTAAACAGTTAGCCATTTTGTTTTGAATATTATATAAAATTTAAAGTGAACTTCACCATTTCTATTTTTATATTTTATGCTCATTAATGGAAGGCTTGGGGTCTTCAGTCGTCGGGCTTTTAAAGAGTTTGATATCTGGTGTTGGTGAGTCGGTAGGGGCTGGATTAGTGAAGAGATACTTGTTCTGCACAGAGATATTTGATACAAAATAAAATGAAAATTATAACCAAAAAATAATAAAAAGAAAATTTATAGGCACTACTTACATTTTGCATGATATGGTTCACAGCCTCTCATTATAGTGCTGGGAAAATTGTCATGTACATATGATGTAAACCCCTATAATAATTTATAGCTTTCATATATTATTTCACTAATTATTTACAGGTCCCGCGAAAAGCCAAAAATAGGAATACATTAAGGAGGAATGGGGAGACTTGGGGTGCATGTCAAATGGATATAATTTAAACCCAATCATAATTTCAAGAAAAATTATACAATGACTAGCTTACGTTTTTTTTTTTTTTTGGGTGAATGACTAGCTTACGTTTAATCTTAGCAGCAAGGCAGTACCACTCCAAGAAATTTTAGCTTGGCAGGCAGCCCTATTCCTTTTGGAAGAAAGAAAGAACAAGATCTGTATGGACAGAAAATAGCTGTGTATCCACGAAGAGCTGTTTGGCACAAGGAACAAATGCAGAAAATATATTCCAAATTAGTAGAATATCAGACAGATTTTGCAACTTAGCTCATATCACTGCTTACAAGAAGGGAATCTCTTTTCCACATAAGTAAAACACGAGCTCAGGAAACATACCTTCATGAAAGGCTGATCACGATATGCAAACGAATCAATGAAACTTTCCTTCAAAAGCAAGGATACCTGGAGCAGCAAGTTATTGGAAAAAGATCAAAATTAGTAATCATCACAGTATGCTCTTCATAAATGATGGCATGCCTCAATGCACAACTTTCGGATACAATTTCCCGTTTTATACGATCTAGTCTCTAATATTGCATTTATATATATTATATATATATGTGTGTGTATAGAGAGAGAGAGTTAGTGTGTGTCCCTTTTTTGGCTAACTGAACATGGCAACTTGCAGCAAGTTTATCTGCCTGTCATCCGTTACCCAAGGGAGACTGAAATAATGATTCAGACTTAGCATCAATAGCCTAATAAGCGGCGCACACCTTAAACTAATGCATTGTTAAGAGTCTTAGATATTCCAGGATTATGCATGTCAAATCACTAGATTCATTGGTTTTGTCAATAATTACCTGTAAGCAAAAATAAGGTTTTGCAGTGGTGTTACAGGACACATTTTAACTATAAAAGTCTTTGTTGTTCGTTTAAATAGATTGTACTTTACTTTCCAGACATGCTTAAAACAGCTAAAAGAAATGAGAATGAAAGATGGCCATAAAACAGCTAAATTACTTGCAAGCAAAAATAAGGTTTTGCAGTGGTGTTATAGGACACATTTTCACTATAAAAGACTTTGTTTAAATAGATTTTACTTTACTTTCCAGACATGCTTAAAACAGCTAAAAGAAATGAGAATGAAAGAAGGCCATCAAATCAATATGTCAAACTAGATTTAACTTGAGGAGAAAACACAGACCTTATCATCATTGGACTGTACATTAGTAATTGTGTGGGAACGAATGTTACAGCAAAGAGAATCCAAGTAAGATCTCAACACTGATAGGAAGCCCTTGGCAGCTTCAACCTGCAGGGAAATCATCACATAAGAATTTGATGACACGGTGACTAATAATATGAGAAAGACCATAACAACAAGGGAAAGTTCTTCACAAATTGAAATACCCTTAGAATTCTTCTGGAGATGTACAGCATAATGCAAAATTAAAAGGTCAAGAATGTAAATTGATTTTTAAATCGTTTAGCATATAATGGCATCACAACAAGACTGACATCCATAATATCGTTCAACATGCTCAAAAGTAGAAATGATCCAAGAGATCATTAGGAGAAAACACACCTGCACTTCGGTGCACTCATACATTGGCCTTTTTCTAGCCAAGTAACTTTCCCCTACAAGTTTTGCATGATGAGGACGTAGAGCAGAGACTAGTTCTTTTTGTCGGGGCAACAGCGGCATTGTTGATGACTTCACCTATTGGAACACAACAGCAGTAAGTCCAGAAACCACTTTGGTAGGCATTAAGCCGCATTCATTTTGGCTTACATGAGCCCAACGTCAGAATACTTTTATAATTACTCCTTTGTTTTTCTTCTATTTATTTTCCAAATACCAACTGAGATGAAACCACTGAGCTCACCAATGTTGATTTGGAAAAGAAGAATAAAAGCAGCATAGTTCTGACATCAAACACCCCAGTTACAGTTTCGACATCAGGCCTCATTGTGACGTTAGTTAAGCTTGACAAGGTTAAAAAACATTAAGCATTGGCAGGTTTGGTAAACAGCTCAAATGCTTCAATTTACTCAACTTAATATTTGGTGCCTCAGAGAGAGTTTGCTTTTATCACTACCTATTTTCATTTCGGCTGAAAACCAAAAGCAGACATGAAAAGTTGTTCATATAACTAATAACATTTTTCTTGGAAAATTAAGTTCACATCTCCAAGAATTTTAAGAACAATAAATTGGCATTTTCTTGGTTCTTAAACAAAAATGCGGAATTTTGCAATCGTGTTGATTCTCTGAATTCCCCGTTTCATTTTCCCATTTATCTTTCATAATCAACTTTTCTTCTGCTGCCAAGCAGTTTTTTCCCTCCTCTTGTTCATCTTGTATTGTATTGCTGAACCTGTTATTTTGGCCAGTGCGCATGCACTCATCTTAGCAGCCATGAAAGTTTCATTTCTCTTATGTTCTGTGACTGGTATGGAGGGGCAACATACAGCCATTGATAGACTGCCAATTTAAAATGGCAACAAGGTTCTCAAGGCGACAAAGTTCAAGTGGATTAAGACTTTGAACCATGGAAGTCCATATTCAGATAAAAATTGTACTTTTGAGTATTAATTGGAGAATGGTATTGATAAAAATGAAGAGGGGCAAATTGATTGTCACTAAAAATGAAGACATCCAGATTTTAATGAATAAAGAAATTCTAAATTGAAAAATACCCTGAAGATATTAAACAAGAAAATTTCTTGAAAATAAAATGCCCCGTGGTAATTTTTATAATCCCTAGTCAGGTTTTTATGATCTCTGTCTCATGTTGATGTTTGGGTTTCTTGGGTTAAATATTTAGCACAAGGAAAAGCCTATTTCTTAGAGCAATAGGAAGTTATCCCTAACCCTTGCAGCATATGTAGCAGTATTTATAATCAGCAATCCGTATTCTGGAGAATTTCAGAAGCTATAAATATTGTGTTATCAGCACTGTGTAATTATATTATTGTTCCACAGTACTACCGTGTGATGACAAGGCCATCTTCCATTTACCAAGTCCTAATATGATTCAGTTTCAAACCTTACCCAGCTCACTTTTCTTTGTCAGGGATGGGCCCCATAAACATTGGGCCAGGGCTGAATTCTCATGGGATTTGTGAGATGTGATTGAGAGTAAGAGAGTGATGCATATAGTGTTTTGGGTCAGAATAGGGTAAAAAATCAGGAAGTGAATTAGAAGACCAGCCTCTTGAATGCTAGTGTATGTCTTCCGTTATTTTCTATGTAGACATCCCATCTGGTTAGACTTGCGTTCTGTCAAATCTGATAGGCCCCATAACCAACGGGCCAAGGATGAAATCTTGTGGGGTGTGTGATGTGTTAGTGAGAGAAGAAGCAAGGCACCAAGGAATATATCTTGGGTGATTGGATCAGTGAGAGGCGACGCATACATGAGTGATGTTTGAGACGTTCCTCAAATACCAGAGGAAGGTGTTCTATGTATGTGTTTATCTCCAGAACCGTAGCCTATCTTGCTAAGGCTTACACTCTGGCAAGATTATAATCTGATTAGGAAGAATTTTTGTGTAATTCCATTAGCCAGAGACCACGCAGTGGATCTAATTTAAACTCCAAAGTAAATTTGTCTTTTAGTTAGCCGCAAAATTATTTTCTACGGCACTGGTGTTCATCAGCAGTACAAATTTTCCAAAACATTGCACAAGAATAAGGTGAGAAATTGAAATAGAGAATGATGCATAGAATAATGATTCAATTTGTGTGGACACAAACCTTTAGAACCGTAGAAAAGGAGAAGTCATGCACATTGAATGATAAACTGAGGGGAAAAGACAAAACGAATTTTAGCAGAAAGAGATACAAACCTGGTTTCTGTTGGCATCAACCAGCACAACATTGGTTAACTTTGACTGTAATTCGTTTGTCTTGTGCTTGACACCAACCTAGAAAATTAATACGTCAGCCAGTCATGTCAGAAGTGCATGCCATCAACAGAAATAACCAAGACACGAAAAGGTCAAAACCAAATTGAAAGGCACATCTTCTATTGGCGAGCCTATCTTCTCAAATCTCAACTATATTTTCCATGTATGAAAAGTATTACAAACAAGTTTTGCAAGCTCTAGAAAGACATATCCAGTACAGAACGTATACAAGGGCAAGCACAGAGTACGCATACCCAAATGCAAAACAGCCTATGACCTGACTTCAAGTCAAATAGTAACAGGAAGAATAGGATACTCACTACATAGGGGACAGGTGCGTCCAAAAACTCCAGCATATCATTTGGTAAAACCTGGCAGGTCAAGCATGGATCAAATGTCAGCAGATAGGTAGAAGAATGATACTGTGGATTAATAACTATTTGCTTGAGAGAGAAATCAAACCGGCATCAGTAGGCTTTGCCATTGGTAGGGGCGGATTAGAGGGATAACTGATAAGACTGAAGCAGATAAGATGCCCTGATCGTCAAAGAAAACTAAAGTTATAAATAAACAAACCAACAGCTGCAAATTTATACCTATCAAGTAGTTCATACATGATTGAATTTGGATGTCAGTTTATTGCAAATCACAATTAAGTATCAAACACAATTGTCAATAATATTCAAATAAGGAATACCTTAGCCACACTTTATTCAGTTCAAATATTAGTAACTCGTGAAACTAGAGGATGCGAATGCAAACAACTAACGTGTTTTGGTGAAGCTAATGGATGCAAATGCAAGCAACTAACGCGTTTTATGCTTAGGAATAGGCAACAACCGTAATAGGAATGAGCACATCGACCAGTAAAGAAAAGACACCCCATAGCAAATGTAAATACCAAGAAGACAGGAACCTATCAATAGAGGAATAACAAACCTTCCCAAGGGAAAATCCTAGATAATGCATCGAGATAAACAACAGAGAAGTAACAGTTAAAAAAGGTACATCATCGTATTCAAAACACTGTTAATAAGGGCAAAAACTAAACATACCAAGTTAGAGCAGACAACTACTATCTGCTTCTCCAACAGAGCTCCGGCAAAAAATGCTAAAACCTGCAGCATGGAGAGGCAATCAATTGAACCAACATGAAGTTGTAAAACTTCCAGACAAGCAATGCAATACTGTTATACTCAGATCATTAATGAAGACTGCCATGTAACTTCTCTCTCTAATTTGGCTTTGGCTACAGGGTAAGGGAACAAATTGATTATTTGTATACAATTTTCACTTTGAAGGTGAAAACCACATCAATTAATAAAGTGATATTTTTACAATCAAATAGATGCTGGTTTTGAACAATATGACCAACGTATGACATTTCAATCCCCCTGCTCTCTCCCCCTCCCCCTCTCTGATTTTGTCCCGTTAAAAAGCATGATCTAATGATCACCACAGAAATACAACATCAAAAAATAATTCACCCGTTCTAACTCACTGGATATAGGAAAAGTAAAATGAATGTCTGGGAAAAAGCATAATAAAGAACTGCAATGCCATAGAAACCTAAGATTGGGACATAAAATTTACATTTTCAAGTTTTAAGGTACCACATATGCAAGCTACAGCCCATATAGATAATGCAGTTGCCTCCTCCTCTGCAAGAAGTGCGTTTTGCGCCTGACAAAAAGAAATGAGTGCAATGTTTTAGAACAAGCATATGCCTATTGAACATGGCACTACCTAAAGGACATATAACTCCTTCATCTAAAGAGGAATGAAAGCAAATGTTCACTCAAAGTCAAATATATCACGACAACATACCTCAGCCCATTCCAGACCTGTTTTAAAAGATTTCAAATCAAAAGTTGAACCAGCCAGCCGAAGAACAGTCTCATCTTGTCTATGATATTCCAGGGGATGTAGGTGCTCCATTGGATGAAACCTAAGTGATGAGCCCCTCGCAGGGCAACCTAATCGATAATACTCGCTTATAATCTGTAATGGTCCATTGTTATTTTCCTGGTAATCAGAACAAGGTAATCAGCAATAAGATATTAGAACAATAAAAAAAAATCAAAAGGCAAAAAAAATAAATAACTGCAAACCTTAGCCCATTCAAGAATATCTAGAAGATCATTTAAATCTTCTTGCCCAGAAATAGAAGCCTCTTCTGTCTCAGTATCATCAATATCACTCCTAAAATTTCTGTCTTCACAAGGTGAACCTTGGAAACTACAAAAAGCAGAGAACATAGAAAAGCTTCATCACTAAAAAGAATGAGAAATAATCTAATAAATGACACAGAATAAAGGGAAGCAAGCAACTGCCACACATCTGTAATAGAAGGAACAAACAGAAACAATGGGCTGCGTTTGTTAGCAATGGATACAATTCATTTACTCACTGTGTGAGTTATGTCAATCACCAGGGCTAATACATCACCAAGTTTCTGCACCATTGAAAACTAGTTCTTCAAAACCTTATCATGAATCCCTCTGATTAAAGGGGGGGGGGAAGATAAATGTTCTGGATTTTTTTCAAAATAAAACACTTTACCCCACAATTATCAAAATGTTGGGAGATAATAAGGTTTTCTAACGCAGAATACAACTTACAAAACAAGGAAAGCGACACCCCGCCATGCAGGATATGTTAGCATATTAGCAAAAGAAGAGTTCATAGTTATAACCAATATTTAGCTTTTAATAACTAACTACTACTAACTACTAGTATAACTAAAAACTGTAAAGGAAGTCCGGATTTCTTTTGCTGTTTGATATCATAATGCCATCATCATACAAATACTAATCAAAGACCTGGACAGTCATGATGATATATACCTGCAGGAAGATTCAGAGCTTTCATACTGGCTATAGCGCAATAGCGGCAGAATAGCATTTGGGAAGCGCTTATCTTCTGATTGCTTGTTTGCTGCATAGGTGTCTCCATATAAATCACTATCCTCAGAACTCATAGTGCCAGGTTCACCTTTGGTAGTTGTCTGTTCAGATTCAGAATCAACTGGTACAACAATTTCATCACCAGCATTCTCCTTCAATTTCGGCAATTTTCCATTAGCCATTTGGTGCTCTGAGTGATTATCATCACCCACAACGCTTTCAGGAATGGAATTTCCTGAGCTTGAGTCTGGGATTATCACCATTTCATCAGCTCTGTCTTCTGTTGGTCTAGTATCCACCAAGACGCTCTCAGGATTGTCCTCTGGGGGTTCCTCCTCATGGTTACCTTCAACGAATTCTAAATTTAAATCTCCAATACTTTTTGTCAACCGCTCTAGCCTTTCTTGGGTGAAGATGCTACAGAGATATTAGCACAAACGAGTCAAATCATACATATAAAATTAAAAATAAATATTTATAAGCATCACACAGCACAACAATGAGTACATGATCATGAAGCAAGCAATATGAGCCAACTGCCAAAAAATTTAAAGGGAAAAATTTTCTAAGTTATAACTCGTTCATAAAGGGCCCAATCTTCCAATCTATATATAAAAAAACTACTAGAAAATATAAGTACTATGATTTGATGAGACTTGACAATAATAACTTATTTCCTCAAACAGAAATATGGGCATATATAACGTCTTCAGTAACAATAATTCCTTGAAACCATAGTTTCACAAAATATAGGAAATACTAACGTGAAGTTTAAGAAATTACGAGGAAGTAATCCAGTGAAACCCCCTCTCAATCAGAATAAACTCCTTTACACATTATTTCAGTATTTCATAGAGCATGAAGTGTCTACAAAAGAGATTTGACAGTTAACAGATCCATCTTCTCCAAAAGTAATACATTGAAAGCATGATAGAAGTGCAAATATTTTCTGCATGCACCCTACTTCTCATCAGTTAACTCCGTATAAACACTCACCTATTTAATACACCAAAGTGCAATTCAAAAAATGGGACCCTTGAAAGAATGCAATAACATCTCTGTGTGGTTAATATATGACGTCTCAAAGATGATGGTGGCTGCTTATCGGAAATCAGGGAGAGCAATCCCGAGGGCTTTTGTACTAATTCTTCAACCAAGACACAGCACCCATAAAGTGTTGAATTATCAGCACCCTGTTGGGGGGAAAAAGAAGACGTTATAAGTACAAACAAGTGCCAAGACAGGATTAAAAAATGTCTGGAAGCCAGGAGCAATGTAATGGACCAGCTTTTATTGTCTCAACAATATTTGATCCGTTTATCTTAAGGTAGCTAAATTTTTCTGTTCATCTCCCAACACAGGCAGGGACTGGAACAATCACTTTTTAGGTACTCACCAGACAAGTTACTTATTTGACAGTGTCTTCATTAGGTAAAAGTTCAGAATGACATGAGAGCAAATTGAGCCATCATATAAAACTCATTCCTTTAACTGTAACCAAAATTTAATGGTATAAACTGACAATCTTTTTTTATCTTCTATCAAGGTTTTGAAGTTTCAGCCCTAGAACAGACAATCAAGTAAATGAAATATTTTCAAACAGCAACAATCTAACAATTTGACTTAGTTTTTAGAGCTTCAAAAGAATTACTGAAAAGAGCTTTTTGCATCACATAACATAGGTAAACCACAAACATAACCTAAATACTGACCAAGGTACATAATCAGAAGTACATCCAAAGCAAGAACCCAAACTAACACCAGTCTAACTAAAAGACACTTCACTTATGTTAGTTTCCCATGGTCAAATAGTAAACCTAAGACAATTTGAGATTATAAAATTAAACCTCCATAGATGTCTACATAGTAAACAAGTGACTCCTATTTTAGACAGAAAAAGTATTGGTAAGCAAGGCACATAGTCTAATTTGCAAAATGGAGGCAATGAATTGTCAGACCAGCTGCCTCCTTTCATTAGTCCAGAACACAAACTAAATATACACCATGCCTAATCAAGAATATCCATAGAAGAAATGCAAAAGCATGGCGGACATGGAGTAAAAGATAAGATTGATGCACCTACCTGTAGCCTGAATACAAATGACAGATCACTTTGTTTAAGGTGTTCCTGTAGAAAACAAACCACACCTCAGGGAATCAGGATTTAACAGATTACAATATTTCCAGCAAGGCGAAATAGAATGGTTGCACAGCAGTTAGAAGTCAATCAAGATCTAATTATTAGGCTTTGACATAGTTAATATGGGAAAAGAAGAACAACCCCAAACTGTTTGATATATGCTAATGCCAACAGCTAAAGCCTGAGAAAGACAAACTCTCAATTGATAGGAAGTATAAAATGGTTGGGGAATCATGATCCTGAAACGAATTGCCAGCTTGAGAATCCACGAAAAGCAAGGATCAGAATGACAAAGTTATGATTGACTGTGACATAAATTTCAAATAACCAGAACATGGCACCTTATGTGAAAATATGTTCCAAAGAGAAGAATTCTGGAGGATACAAAATTCTTTTAGAATTACAGGGTTCCAACTCTCTTTACCGAGGAGTTCGACAGTGAAATCGGATTAGCAAGGATGGATATCACAATTCATCACTTAGTTAAGAGGCAAAAGGAATAAATACGATCATGCATCAATCCAATATGAACCAAAAAAAAAAGTCCTACAAAGTAATAAGTAGAATCAGTGGGAGCACAAAGTAGCTAAGCTACCTGCCCAAGAAGAATTTCGTTCAACTCACTCATGGAAGGGGTTCTCTCGACAGCACGAACCTACAATTACATCCAGGAAAAATTAAGACCTCAGCAAAAGCTTTCTAGATATGCAGAAATAAATAAATACAAGAACAGATAACTTTGAGACTCCTCACATATATCAAGTCATGAACTACCATTTGCGGCAAATAATTGAATGAGTAAAACCTTGTAATTAATTAGTTTAACAGTGGATGCGCACTCTGACTTAATAGGCACATTTAAATTAGTTTAACAGATGATGTTCAACAATATCAACCTCCCTAGAAACAAAATTTCCCTCTAAAAATTGATTTTTTAATGGTTTTTAACAACCACAAACACTCAGATATACTACAAATATATACAGGTAGATTCAAGCATACTCCTGACCTCGAGGCCTCCAGGAAAGCAGAAGGAGACGAGATCCTTGTATTTAAGAGGCAGATGTTTTTCTGGAGGGTAAACAAACAAGACCTGAAAAAAGTCCAAACATGCAGCGTTCATGATATGACAATTTTAACCAAATTAATTAAAAAAGTGAATAAAAATAATAGCAATCATTACAATAAAACTGTAATAATAATGGTAATAGTACTGGTAGTTTTGATAATAAACTAAGATCTGTTAAGAAGTCTAAGAACCTGTGGCTCAAAACTGGGTTCTACGCGGGACTGATTCTGATGGCCAAGTGAACTTCTAAATTTACCAGAACCTTCAGATTTTCTTTCAACATATTGCCTCTGCAGTGCCTGAATGTCACAATTAGGATGAAGTCCCACAACCACCATGCTTTCAAACAGCCGTGTCGGCTCCTTCCAAGACCTATGGTCCTGCGCACTCAATCAAGAGCATCTATGAGAAAAATGTATTGACAACACAGTTTCATGAGTTTTTGTCATTAGACAAGAAGGTTGTGTAATGCCTAAAACTGAGAATGCTGTGAACCTTGAAGTAAGACCGCAGAAAAACTTGAACCAAACAGAAATAGCAGCAGATTCAACTAATAGATATTAGAACCAAACAACAAAGAGATAAACCAGAAAGAGGTATAAGCTGAAAACCTGGAAGTAAAAAGCAGCCTATGTAGTCTTTGTAATTTGCATGAAATGCAGCTTAAATACAAGGGATTGGACCAAAAAAGAAATAGCAGCAGATCCAAAAATATAACATATTTTAGAAACGAACAATCAAGAAGGAAACAAGACCGGGGCGCACACAATTCCAGAAGCAGCAGACCCCATAATGACAAACAGCGCAGGTGTTCATTCTAGTTTGGAAGAGAACAAGTAGAATGAACATATAATTTTGGTGTATCTTAGAAAAATATTTTACCAAGTACTGCAACTGAAAGTTTTCTGCCCATTGTCGCTTCTGACTTGTTAGGACTTCAGGATTGTAATTTGCAACTTTAACATCAGAAGTGCGTGAGAAGCCTTTTATTAATTTTGAAACATGATTCTGGAACCTTTGAAGATTGCCACTACTATGATCATCTTTAGATGAAAATATTACAGATGGCCTTGGCGAATTAACAACAGTTGCAGCAGCAGCAACGGCTCTTGCCACATCCTCTGTTGTCTGCATAAAAAATGAAGAAGCCCAACTGGGACTGCCTGAATCTTCATCCTTTGCCATTCCAGACATTTGTACCTACCTAAACATAATGAAATTGAACTCAGATAAACAAGATTATCGTCAAAGCAACATTTCAAAGAAGGCAACAGCAAGAATTACAGCTAACTGACATATCAAGTCTATCATGAATGTCTATAACAATCAAATACATCAAAGTTAGGGCAGGCCATAAGCACGGCTACCAACAAGACCACAGATCATCCACTGAAGACTCAGAAATTCATTATTCGCGCACAAACAAGTCATTTAGTGCTAAAACTTCAAATTTATGTTATTAATGTACTCTTGAAGACTGGAGGTTTCATTCATTGTAACCGCCCTAGTTATCATCCGTCCAAGCTACTTCAAGAGGTACTGAGGCCATATGAACTTTAAGTATTTGATAAATTAGAAAGAAAAGAGAAAAATGGGAGGGGCAAAAAGAAGCTAATACTTGGTCGGAGATCCCATCACTTCTAACTCCCCTTTTCTCCTTAGACTTTCTTCCAGAAAAAACCGTAAATCTGCAAGCGCTTCCACATACAACTCATGATAAACAAAGAAGCACAAGTAAATTTTCTTTTTTAGCTCAAAAATACAATTTCCGATGCCAAGCTTTCTTCATAGGATGCGTCACTCAGCCATCTTCTGTTCATTTTTTACTCTCTTCTGCGCTAGCTCCGACGGAGGGGGGAAACAAAAGAAAAGAAAAGCCTGAAGACAAGATGCAACAATCTCAAGACCTATAAACAGCACAAAAACATGTAATCAAAGCATCCCACACTGACGTCCCAAACTGCATAAAAGTATCCAAAACAAAAGAAAAAAGGGGGGAATTAATAAAGAAGAAAGTGCCCCACAAAAACGTAAAGAAGTGGAAATTTTAAAGTAAGGTAGAGGACGGAACTTGGAAAATCATCTCTTCAAGAATGAAACATGAGCACAAGTGAGAGAAAATTTTGCATCTCCCGCATACATCAGCAGGAATAAGAACAGCCAAAATTCAAAGGGGAAAGGGAGGAGTGAAAAACAAAAAAGCAAAAACAAAAAACATATGAAATAGACAAGCTCACCTCGCGAAAGCCGGATAAGGAAATGAAAGCAGGTATTAGACAGAGAAGGAAAGAGTTGAGGCGGCCATTATAGAGCTCTGGGCTTCAACCTTTGAGGAAGGTAAAAGGGAAGGAATTAAATCTTAATTAATTGATCAACTTCAGGTAATTTTCGGGCAAAGAAAAAGGGTATTTTTTTTAATTTAACAATTAAAAAAAAGGGGGGGTGAGACGGAAGCAAATGGTTGAGATTACGAGTTAGAAGCGAAGCTAGAAGCCTCGTGCGCGTCGAAAGGAAGCGATGCGGCCATGGAAGGAACAAGACATTTTTGCGAAAGGAAAGCTGCAGGCTGCACAACACAACAAGGGACGTCAGTTTCTTTCTACGCCTTGTTTGGTTGGTGTCGTTTCTGTCCACTCTCTCGCTGTTCAACTCCATTGTGTTTGGCAACAACCGCATCCTATGCATTTTCCTTCTTCTTTTTTCTTTTTTTAATATTTAATAATTGGCAATTTTATTTAATGATATCATCTGGTCGAAAAGGCGGAAACGACGCCGTTGGATGATGGGCAGGGATCATGGCCCCTTATGACAGTGGCGTGGAAAAGCACGCACTCTGGCGGTGTAATTAGCGTGAAACTGGAAAAAAGTTGTAATTATCGATTAATTAATTAATTATTAATGGGGAAAATTTTGGAGAATTAGGTCAATGTCACTGGGGTGTGAAGACCCGGCTCTGAATCTGATGGAGCCATTGGATGCACTGCGGGGATCTGGTCAAACCAAAACAAGTCTCGAATCAATTCTTTTTTTTTTTTTTGCATTTATTGTTCTTTTGCCACGTTTTATTCCTCCACAAAAAAACAAATCAAAACCCGAATCACAAAAACTCTCCACATCCGCACATATTTTTCCTGATTTCCATTTCACGCATTCTGTTTGGAAAAAAAATGTGTGGATATATTTTCATCATTAAAGAGTAATTTGTCCTGTTTATGAGTACAATAAATTTTTGAAAAAACATTTTTAAAAATAATAATGAAATAGAGTAGAATATTTGAGGATAAGAAGAAGGGGTGGGAAGCAAGGCTGTCCCCCCTCCTCTTTATCCTCGTGATGGTCATGTGGGGGCCGCCTACGTTAATTATCTGCCTCCGATGTCCAACATTATTGCGGGAACACGCACATAGGAGCATGATATAGAACCTTCTCTTTCGGTCGTACTGTGGTGGCCTTAATTAGGCTGATTCACAGTGTATAGGTTACTTTAACTAATTTATTAATGTGCTGGCAAAAAAAAAACTAATTTATTAATGGAGCATAAAAAATAATATTATTTTTAATTTTTAATAGAAGAATTAGTTGACCAATTTAAGTATATTAAAAATTTTAATTAAATTAGTTATTTATAATAAATAAGTGTTATCTTTCTTAAAATATTATTAATAATCAAATGTATTGACTAGAACTACCATTATTGGAAGGATTATCTTATAAAGAAATAGATACTACCTTCGGTCATAATCATAAGAGCTAGTTAACTAATTTGAGGAGATTAAAGAAAGAAGTTAAGTTAGTTATTTGTCATAAATATGTGTTATCTTTTCTAAAATATCCTTGCTAATCAAGTGTATTGGCTAGAACTACCATTGTTATAAGGACTATCTTGGAAAAAAATACATAAATATTATAGACAAAATATATTGGAATATTATATTTAGGATCAAAATAAAAGTCAAACGATATCTTATATTAAGAACCAGAGGTAGTAAATATGAAAGATAAAATGAATTGTGATTTTATATTTAGAACCAAAATAAAAGTCAGACGAACTCTAATATTAAAAACTAGAGATAGTAGTTAACTTATTAAATCAGTCACTAGTCAAAAAAACATTTATCAAATCAGTCCCAAATATAAAAAAAAAATCAGCTTTTTTTTGGACTGAAAAGGTTTTTTTTTTCAACTTTATTCGCGAGGTTGTGAATGGGAATTGAAGAGAAAAAATTGATAAAGAAGCATTTATTACTGTTCAAATGACTTCTATTTTAAACTAAATCAATCTTTTAAAAGTGACTTGTATTGTGGAATAAAATGAATACTTTGTTTACGCTATTTTATTGACTGCCACTTGCCCTTGCGTCTTAATCATATGAATGCAGTGTGATGATCTCATTCTTACTGGGTTATGGTTATCATTATCAGCAACAACCTCAACTTTTTAATTTGCAAAATTAGACCTAATTGATTGATTAAAAGCCTCTTTATATGCACAGTGTTCCATAAGATGTGTTCTTGCAAAAGCAATCGCAGCCTCGCTTACAGCCTCATATCCTCTCTCATAATTATATGTATAAACTACGTTGGCGTTTGCTAGCTTCTTGCTCTCCCCTGGCCCTATCTTCGTCACATCAAAATAGAGCGTGATATCATCATCGTCCATTCTCAATCCTTTTTTTTTTTTGGGCCAACTATTACAGGAAGCATTATACTCAGTAAGAATGATAGTAGTATATAGGATTGGGCGCATAGATGATGTCACTTGTTTTGTTCGCATAAATCATACAATAATTAAAACTATTAATTTGTTGATAGTAGTATAATTTAACAGAATAAAAGGAGTAAAGGACAGAACAGGGGAATTGAGAAATGAAGCATATTCCACGGGGGTTGGCAGCTATGCGGGGTGAGTTCTTAGGAGATTAATTTAGAGCGGTGACGATAATGTCAAAGAAAAAAAATTATGGATTAGTATTCTAAGGACTTGTTCGTTTGTTATATATTCAAAGTTGTTGAATAAGAAAAGCCTTCAACTAGAAACATCCACTTTAATAATGTCATAATCAGTTATATGGTGACGACTTTGCATGCCGCAGGAAGATGCCTATTTAAACCGTTCAAAGTCAATTCTTTCTGAATCTTATCTTCCATTATTAGTTGGGTACATACCCAATACATCAAGATGAAATATTAATATTAAGAAGAAAAAAGTTACTTTAATTAAAAAAAGGTTCTTGGCAAAAAAAAAAAAGTTAAAATATGTATGTGTATTCATAAATTAACTCGTGAGTACTTGTAAATTTTTATATGAGATCTTGTCATGTAAATTAAGATTTGTAAATTTTCTTATAAGTAGTTATTATTTTGATATTGTTAGTTATTGAAATGCATGTGTACTCATATAAATTCATCCATGAAATATGAAAACTTTTTTTTGACCAGCCATGAAATATGAAAACTTACTATTGTTTGTCGTTAAAATAGATATGTACACTTATAAAGTCACATGTTAACTTGACCCGATGAGTGTGAGCATCTTGACTTGGGTTTAATTTTACTATAAATAAGTATTTTTGTATTTTGTTAAGTAAAATTGTCTTCATATATTTATCTCGTACAGCATAACAAAAAGAACTTAATTTAAACTGTTTTTCATGATAGTTTGGGTTGACTTATTTAAATGTTTATAAATATATTTCATATAAACATAAACAAATTTTCTCTCACATACTTACATCATATTTCACAAGATTGAAAACCTTATTATAAGCTATTTCAAATCAACCCCTCAGTTTTTGGGGGTCAACCAAACCGATGGCTAATCATGATCATAAGTTCACATGACACATTCAACATTACAAGTTATGACATCAAACTCAACTAAAAGTTTCAATAGTAACAAAGGAAATAAATATTTCAATTACAAAATTGCAAACATTTCACATTAAACTAGTATTATCTCCACTCCTTAATATAAGACTTTATTTGATTTTTATTTTAGTCCTAAATATAAGACCCTAATTCACTTTATTTCTCATATTTATGTATTTTTTTCAAAATAGTCCTTCTAACAATGATAGTTCTAGCAAATACACTTGATTAGTAAGGATATTTTATGAAAAATAAACATATTTATTACAAAAAACTAATTTAATTTTTTTCTTAATCTTTTTAAATGAGTCAACTAATTTTTATATTTAGAATCGGAAGTAGTAGTATTTTTTACCGTTATGCTTCAGTATGAAAATAAATGTTTATTTCGCAGCCAAAGATAGAACAAAATACAAATGTGCACGTGGCAGGTCCTAGTTAGTGCCAAAAGGAGTCCAATTTTGCGGCCACTGCTCTTTCTCACAGGTTAGGCCGGTTTGCCGCCCTTATGACGAAGGCAAAAGCGACGATGCTCATTTACCAAAACGTTTTTCGGTAAAAAGGCAAAAAAGAAAAAGAAAAAGAAAACTCTCCATGGTCGCCAGCAACATAATTACTGGTGAAGGATGGCTATGTAGAATTTGAGCACACCGCCTGTGTGGGTATACATAGTTTGTTGTTAATTATAAAATACTACTCTAGTTATTAATTCTGGTAGGAAAGTGGAAGACTGACAATTTAACTTTAGGATAAGAAATTAACAATTATTTTTATTGAATTTATATATTTAGTAATCTAATAAGAAAAGAGGAAGCTTTTGCTTCTATCCATGCCACCACCAACAAACATCCTAAAGGGATTAATAATTTTAGTACAGCAAATTGACAACTCCTATAATAAAGCTTTAATCTTCCACTGATAGTTGTAACATTAACAACTTTAGTAAAAGAGACGGACAACTTTAGTATATAAAGTTTTTTTTAATAAAAAAAGGTTTAGATAAGTTGAATTCGAGGACTCATTAAGACAGATTGCAGAGCATGTTGCTTACAGAGATAATTATAGAGTGTCCACCAATAAAGTCCTCACATCAGTATCGGGATTTGAATTTATAGTCTTATGGGTTATGAGCAGATTCTTTACTAACTTGATCAATTTTTATTGAAGTTAATAACTAGTAAAACGTTTTCAATTAATAACATTAACTTCTTTATTTGCATATATAAAAACAATATTTTGCATACGACACTGAAATTCCAAAGACTCTGCGCTTAAGTCCAAACCCTCGCCAATATATTGCCTGTTACGCCGGAGTTTATGCGGCTGACCGGCGGCTACAGCGCCAGCCATCATGGGAAGAGATTTTTCTTTTCTTTAAATCAAGATAATACTCTTTTGATTTTTAATGTAAGATCTAATTAAGTAGTTTATGTTGATCATATATGCAAGGTCTACTTGACATGTTTATCAAATGTTTTTTTTAAATTAACCCTATTGATATTTCACTAACAATAATCAAATAGAAGAAGAAGTGAGGGAATTAAGAAAAATAGTATATAAAGTTTTTTTTAATACAAAAAATTTAGATATTTTAATAAAAAAAATTAGATAAGTTGAATTCGGAGACTCATTAAAACACACCGCAGAGCATGTTTTTAGGCTTAAAAAGTGCTTACAGAGGTACTTATAGAGTATTCACCAATAAAGTCCTTATATCAGTATCAGGATTTGAACTTATAGTCTTGTAGGTTATGAGCGGATTCTTTACTAACTTGATTAATTTTTATTGAAGTTAATAACTAGTAAAGCGTTCTCAGTTAATAACATTAACTTCTTTATTTATATATATATATAAATAATATTTTGCATATAACACTGAAATCCCAAAGACTGTGTGCTTAAATCCAACCCCACCCTCGCCAATGTATTGCTTGTTACGCCGGAGTTTATGTGGCTGACCGGCGACTACAGCGCCAGCCATCATGGGAAGAGATTTTTCTTTTCTTTAAATCAAGATAATACTCTTTTGGCTTTTAATATAAAACCTAATTAAATAGTTTATGTTGATCATATATGCAAGATCTACTTGACATTTTTTTTTTAAACTAACCTTATTGATATTTCGCTAACAATAATCAAATGGAAGAAGAAGGAAGAAAATTAAGAAAAATGCTTAGAGTGCTTGACGAAAAACATATCATATTAACTAATTTAACTAATATTTTTAATTTATTCAAATTAATTAATTAGGTCTTATATTAATGACTAAAGGAATAATATATGCAAACTTATTTATAATTAGAGCCCTATATCAAAACTTATTTACAATTAGAGCCTATAAGATTTCAGACCTGCTCTTCTTATTCTATTTATAAGACACTTCTAGTATATTTTATATAGATCAAGAAAAACATTAAATTTTATTAATTTTTATTTAAAATTCAACAATTTTTAACTTTATTCCTATTTAATATACATTATACCTCATGTAAACAAAATTAATAAATAAAGAGTAAAATTGTACATCCATGTAAAAATATCTCCTAGTACCTTATAAATAGAACAAAAATTATTTTCTTTCTTTGCTTTATAAATATGATCAGAGGAGTATTTTTGTATTTCTTGAGGCTTTTTGGCATTAGAATCATTCTCTGTGCCCCCGTTGCAATTTCCCCCAACAATGGTAGTAACAACAACAATACTAATTTAAGTTTGTAATTTTTAATTTTAATAAAGCTGAGATGTAAGATAAAAGAGTAATAAAATTTAATTAAAAGATTCTAATTCTACTTTTAAAATTTTTTAAATTAAGTTAGTAATTGCGTGTATGCAAAAGTTTTATGATTTTTATGATTTTATCTTATAATTTAAAATTGATGTTTTCGTTTGATTAAAAAATGTAAATTTAATTTATTATTTATTATGGGTGTAAATGCTAATATGAGATATAAAATTGATAATAAATATATCTTACTTGCAAACATGATGGACCATTTGATTCATTTCTCACTAAAAGTTAATTTTTTCTTAAATATAACGCAAGCAAAATGGCACATCTTCAGGGAAAGAAGGGCGAATAATCTTGAGAATTCACATTTCCCCTTAAAATTATAAATCGATGCTACTTGTGTGAATGAAACTGACAAGAATAACAATTTTTGGTTGGTGCCAATTTTAAGAAAGCTAATTATTAATAATAAATTGCAGGGAAGGATGTTATAATTAATCAAGGAGGTATGTTCAATGTACTTTAAAAAGCATTCAGATTCAAAGCATTCGCCCCCTATAAAATTTTATTTTTCATTTTTTCTGTAATATATCAAAATGACGCCGATTCTAGGATGAGTGGGATCGCTTGGAAGAAATTTAGTCTTAGTTTCACTCTTAAATTAATAGGAAAACATGTTTATCGATATCACAGCAAAAAGAAAAAAGAAAAAACAACTTCGTTTTCGTTGGGAAAAAATCACTTTCTCCTAAGTTTCCATCTTTTGTTTATGCTATATTGTGCGTGAAAAGTGATCCATTGGTCAAAAAAACATAAAATAAGAAAGTGAACCATGTGGCTTGATGCTTGGGAGATTGGATGGGTTAATTAAGGGTGCAAAGGGCACTTTGCGTGCTTAAGAAGCATATCTTAGCTAATTAAGTAACTTGACAACTAAAATATTACTGTAATTTGCAATAAATATCTTTTGAATGTGATCAATTAAATTATAATTTTTTATTACATTAAAAAAATTTATCTTTCTTTTTTTAATATTTCCAATCATATCTGGTCTCTCTCAGACTTCAGGTTAATTTTCTTGCTTTCTGCAGATCTAGGCAATGCATAATATTTGCCTTTGATGATATAATCAAAAGATCAAACTAACTAATTATAATTCATGTAATTTTCTAGACATATTTTATTTGATTATTTTTTAAAAAATAATATACTAGCTAATTGTACACGTCACAATTCATTTATACAATTCAAGATTAATTATTTGTTAACTAATTATCAGTTTTCATTTAATTTGATATTATTAATTAAGCCATGCTCTTCTTAAACTTAAATTCTAGATGCGCCATGAGACAAAATGCCAGAATAGACTTTTTCAGAAGTAGAAGAGAATTAAAAAAAAAAAAAGCCACGTTTCTTTTTAATTTAAAAGGATAAAAGGCTTTTACAAAATTAGAGTACTTATGCATTTAAAGCTAAATCTCAATTTGTTTGTCTTGTGCAATTCGGCCCAAATAGACCAACTTCGATCCTTGAATAATGAAAAAGGAGGGACCAGAGATGCAAAGACGCCAGCAGCTCCGGCGGTCCAAGAAGAGCGGTTTCTTCAAAATTCATATAGTACTATCTCTTATTTTTAATATAAGATCTTATTTGATTTTTATTTTAATCATAAATATAAGACCTAAATCCATTTTGTCTCTCGTATTTATATATTTTTTTCCAAGGTAATACTTCTAACAATAATAGTTATAGCTAATATACCTGACTAGTAAGGATATTTTAAAAAAGACAACACATATTTATCATAAATAACTAACTTAACTTCTTTCTAATCTCCTCAAATTAGTCAATTAGCTCTTATAATTAGAACGGAGGTAGTAGTACAATTTAGGTTTTTTGGCCAACATAGCAAGTTTAAGTTGCATCTAACACTTTGAATTAATTTTTTAAGTATGTTCGGTATCTCAAAATATTATGTGATTTACTGAGCATGCTTAATTTTTCAGCTACATTTAACACCAATTATCATAAAGTATTTACTTCAATATTTTTTATGGTGTTAGACACATAAAAAAAATACTAAATACTTTAAGATGATTGACATGCATGAAATATACTTTAAAATATTGAATCAACCATAACATATTTTAGAACATTAGATCCACCTTAAAGAAAATACTTTATATCAACTTTAACCCAGTATTGTAAGGTGGCGTACATTTTACAGGCATTCCCACAATCTTAACAATGGAATGATATTTTACAAGCAGGTTTTGAATGATGACTTACGGAGGAGGGGATAAGTACGTAATAGAAATTGTCTCATTTTACATAAAACGTGTTTATAAATAATTTCAAACATGCTTGGATTGTGGGTGAGCCCAACCCCCTTTTCAAAAATTTTTGTACCAAAAAAAAAAAATTTCAATCATTTTTCCAAACGGGCCTCTCAGTTTATTTAGAATCGTCCTTTAAAAATGATTTTTTAATTATTATTTATGAAATAAATATGTGAGAAGAGTTTTGTTTCGATTTACATAAAATGACTTATAAGTATTTATGAATCAGAAATTCAAACAAAAATTAATAGTATAGTTAGTTTCATAGGGGAAAGTCTCCACCACCAGAGGGTTACCTTCGCCTAGATGCAGATGGATCTGTGAATTCTCAAAGGCATGCCTCGTGTGGTGGATTGATCAGGAATTTGAAGGGAGAGTGGATTTTAGGATTACAACCAAAGCTTGGATGCATATCACCAACTTGTACAGACTTTTCAGGAATTATTCCTTTGTTTCTAAATATAAAACCTTTTTATAGTATAATTTTACACTATAAAAGATGTCTTATATTTAAGATTAGAAGAATATAACAGGACTCCACATTTGTGAACAACAAGGCTTCAACAAAATTTTGAGGAGTACTGATTCTCTTGAAGCGATTCAATTACTGATGGCGGACTGTGGAACGGATCATCCGTTTAAACCTGAAATTAGAGAAGGGAGAGGCTAATCTACTCTGATTGGGAGATTGAGGTTAGGCATGCATTGCCAGAAACCTTATACTGTGCAGATTTTTTGGTTGAGGATGCTCACCAACAGGCGGAAGACATGACGCTGCTATGGGAACCGTATCCTGACTGTCATAGTCGTCTTCAAGCAAACTTGATGCCGTCTTGAGTTATTTTAGCCTAGCTTCTTTTGTCAAGTTTGTAACTTGCCCGGCTTAACATATACTACTTCCTGTACTCATTATAAGATGTCGTACAGGAAGTATTATATATACAAAAGAAAAAAAGTAACGCTAACCCCGCGCACCGAGATTTGTTAGGAGAGGAGTTGAAAGTTGAAACCCTGATGACCAAAGTGCCTGAAAATTTCAGAATCATGTGAACGCCGCCACGGTTTTCACGGAACGCAGCCCCACGTGAACATAATGCAAAATTCATAGCCTTATGCCCATCCACATCACACCACACCACCACCCGTGGGCCCCCCCTCTGCCCTGAATATTCAACTCCACTCTCTCCCCTTCTTCACCGTCCATTAGCCATCACAACCGCTTCGGTTTCCGTCTCAAAAATTTATCACGTGCTCAGCAGCAACATCCCTCTTCCCCGGCGTCCGCGGGTACGGTATGTTTGTGTCTTTATATATATATATATATATATATATATCAAATAGGACACTTGCGATAAATACTTGAGATCACTCTAGTCAGAATTGTTCTACATCATTTGCTCGCGGTAGTAGTTGAGAAGGGAACAAGGGACCATCGAGCAGCCACTGCCACCAGCAGCGGAGGATCAGAACTCCGACGCACTGAACAGAGGCGTAGACGATTGAAATGGCGGATACTACAACGCAAGGAAGAGCCACCCTCTTCTCTCCTTACAAGATGGGCAAATTCGATCTCTCTCACAGGTCTCACTTCTCTCTCTCTCTCTCTCTGTTTTTTTTTTTAAGATTCCTTTGACTCAAATTTTCAGGATTTGGGGAGACGAAATCGGCGATGGATTTTTGAGAAATTAACTGAGTCGGTGTTGTTGGAATTGGACAGGGTGGTGCTGGCGCCGATGACGAGATGCAGAGCTTTGAACTGGATTCCGCAGCCGGCGATGGCAGAGTACTACGTGCAGAGGTCAACTCCGGGGGGCTTTCTCATTACCGAAGGAACCTTGATCTCTCCCACGGCGCCAGGGTAATCCTTGTAATTTTGTCTACTTTTTGAGGTCTTTTGTAATTCAGGATCATCTGGTAGTGGAATCTGGAATGAATGAATTATTGAATTTCGTTCCTCGCTGGTCAAAGATGGTGTCATATGAAATGATAGTAGCCACGTGGCGGGATTTCCTTCGTCGTGATACCCACATTTTATAGTGGGATATGCAGGTGTCAGTGTCCAAGAATTTTTTGCTTTTTTTTTTTTATGACTATCATGTTTTGATGTTTTTGTTTCATAAAATTTTTAAAGAAAAAAATGCAAAAAGTGACCAGTTTTTGTACAGCATATTATTTTCTAACTTCTGTAAAAAGATCCAGTTTTCTTGTCCATGCAAAATTTTGATGTCTTGCTACTCAAACCTGAAATTTCTTTCGCAATATTCATAAATTTTACTTTGAAATTTAGTTGGAAGTGCAAGTTGCTCTTCCAGAGATAGAAGGATAACGTTACTATCTCTACCCATGAAAAACTAAAATGATTGTTGCCCTTGTCTTTTTATATAATCAACATGCTTTTATTTTTATTAAACCCTAATCCCCCCCCCCCCCAAAAAAAAGAAAAAAAGGGACCAAAAGCATATTTAAACTTATTTATAGACACTATTTGACTATGGGCACTTTCAAGCTGTTTTCAAGTTTGACCCTAAAACCCACAGTACCACAAGAGGGAAAAAAGTTTTCCAGTTAAAATTTTCTTTTGGGTGGTGCAAAATTTTCATTGAAATTTGACTATTGATATGGAATACAACTTTGATGCGGAATAAAGTACATTTTACACACGACGTACAGTTAGACATTGGATTCAAAATGAAATGCGAAATTGGCTTAATTATGCAGATTTCCACATGTACCTGGCATATATTCAGAAGAACAAGTTGGGGCATGGAGGAAGATAGTGGATGCTGTCCATGCCAAAGGAAGCATTATCTTTTGCCAACTCTGGCATGTTGGCCGAGCTTCTCACTCAGGTAATAACTCCTAATTTAATTTATGATGATCTCCGTCCATTTAATCAGGAAAGTTTGAATGCTAGCATAGGTACAGGATACTTATCGATAAATGTATAGAGAGAGCTAGCCATAAGACAAAACTTCAAATGCTTACTTGTGGCCTGAAAGTGTCGCATAATGTCTTTCTTGTCCAGCATGATTCTCCATTTGTGCCTTATTTGTGGCCTCCATTTTTTGTGTTTTATAGGTCATACCAAATCTATGTACCTAATATATATATATCTCTATATATCATAAAAAACCCATATAAAGCTATACTATTTGTAAGAGTAAGGGGCCGTTGGTATCTGATCTTCAATGGGGACAGTCTCACTTGCTTACACTTGGTTACTTGAACATTAATCATATGATGGATAAAAATGATAATCAAAATTATTTATTTTCTCCAACTACAAACCAAATAGGACATTTTGGGAGTAGATGGAGCTTAACCTTAAATCATTTGGTATTCATATTTATTTATTTTAAATTGCTAAGCATTTAAATGGACCAAACAAGTTACCCCGACACATCCCATATTAACAACTCAAAGTTAGAGAGAAACAGACATAAAGGGTGGCTCCACTTCTAATGATGTGCGTCTTATAGAAGGGAGTCCACCCTTTTCTCGACGTAATTTGCACTTTAGAGGATCCAAATCTTATATTGACATGTTGTAAAGTATATATATGTATTACTTCCTTCGATCTTTTTTTAAACAAAGCCTTGCCAACTACTATCTTGAAATTAATGAAATTTGTAAGTATTAGTTAAATATAAAACATGTTTACAGCTTCTTAAAGCTACTCATTGATTTGTAGAGTTTTTAACTGGGGGAGGAAAATAGGATGGGAAAACTAGTAATTAAGCTAAGAATAAAAGAGATAAGTGTATTTTAAAAATGAGTTAAAAATATTTTATTAAATTTTATAAAGGGTCTTGTATGAAAAAAAAATCAATTGGTATGATGGTACAAAAAGGAGAGTATATCATAAACATTTTATGGAACTATTTTGCTAAATAGGTCGGAATTGGATTTTAAATTTACTTGATTATCCTTGCCCAACTCTGGTTTGACGTTATGATATTTCATATTTATCCTTGTCAGTTAGGAGGTGTTAGGACTTATCCTCGTTTTTCTCTTTCTACTTCCGAAACAGTTTATCAGCCAGGAGGGGCCCCGCCCATATCGTCCACTAGCAAGCCCATATCAGCGAGGTGGAGAATTCTCTTGCCGGATGGGTCCTATGGCGTGTATCCAGAGCCTCGAGCCCTGAAAACTTATGAAATACCGGACATCGTGCAGCATTACCGGCAAGCGGCAGTAAACGCTATTCGGGCGGGTTAGTTTGCTAATTTAATTATATACTTCCACATAAGAACTGTTCGCTTTTTAATTGTCATTCCCAACAATAATGACTATCATAGGCTATAGCTTATAAATTATCATTTGGCTGGGGACTAAAAATACTTCCTTCTCCATATGGTCCATTGAGTGATTATGAATGCTCCTCCGTTTTAAAGGCTCCATAATACCTAACGCGTCGAAAGTGTAGTCTTTTTCATGCTCATGGAAGTATGGTCCACATTGGGAAAAGTTAGCGCTCCTTTAGCCTAATAATGCATATCCATATCATTCGCTTCAAAGTGCACGATGATAATGAAAAGTCACGCTTACGATTATAAAATTCTTGCGCGTTTGTTAGTTCATATGATTCCTTTTTCTTATCCCAGAGCGGAGATTGCCTCAAAATGACCCTCCGGACAGAGACTTGAAATGATACTGTCCTCCAGAGAGGCTTGATGCAACTTGGCTTCTTTGTCTTTTTTGGCGATAAACTTGGCTTCTTTGTCTAGACGCTGCTATGTCTTGGGTTAAAAAAATTAACTTTTGCTTGTGGACTGTTGAATTGAAACACCATATTAACTATAATTTTAACGACACTTCTTTTGTTTGATCATGTACCAACACATTGACTCAATGCCATGTGATAAAACAGGTTTTGATGGAATTGAAATTCACGGGGCTCATGGGTACATTATTGATCAATTTTTGAAGGATGGGATCAACGATCGAACAGATGAATATGGTGGATCACTAGATAATCGTTGCAGATTTCTAATGCAGGTGGTTAAAGCAGTGGTTTCTGCCATCGGAGCCGATAGAGTTGCCGTGAGAATCTCACCGGCAATAGATCACCTGGATGCCATGGACTCTGACCCACTTAGACTAGGCTTAGCTGTGGTCGAGAGGCTCAACAAGCTCCAACAAGAGTTAGGCTCAAAGCTTACATATCTCCACGTGACCCAGCCTCGATACACTGCATATGGGCAAACAGAATCAGGCAGACCTGGGAGTGAAGAAGAAGAAGCTCACTTGATGAGGAACTTGAGGAAGGCTTATCAAGGGACGCTCATGTGCAGTGGTGGATTCACAAGGGAATTAGCAATTGATGCCGTGGCTCAAGATGATGCTGATTTGGTATCATTTGGTCGTCTTTTCATATCAAATCCAGACCTGGTCCTAAGGCTTAAGATTAATGCACCTCTGAATAAGTATAACAGGAAGACTTTCTACACCCAGGATCCCGTTGTGGGATACACAGATTACCCCTTCTTGAACAAGGAAAGCGGGCCTAAATCACTCTCGCGTCTTTAATTGTGTCAGTTTTTGGATATGTTATTTGCATTGTTATTGCATGATTGCAATCTCCGCAACTTGTCACCGGGTTCAAGCTCTTACCCTTGGGGAAATACATATATTTTTATTGAGATTGGTACTGATAGCTGTTGAGTGTTGACTAGTTCATTATCGTCTCCACCCCCCACTTGTCTCTCTCACACGCATTTTCTTTGCTTTTTCTTTTTAGTCTGCCCCTTGGTTTGAATTTATTTGCAGTAGTATACAGAGAACTATCCTACTCTTTTTTCTTCCTTTTATCTCTTTTTCAATGAGTTGTGAATCGATCAGCAGAATATTAAGAAATTGCGCGTCTAATCACAGAAATCGCTATTGAGTGCTATCTACAATCTTAATTATAAGAGCTAGTTGATTAATTTGAGGAGATAAAAGAAATAAGTTAAGTTAGTTATGTGTAATAAATATGTACTGTTTTTTCTAAAATATTCTTGCTAATCAAGTGTATTAGCTAGAATTATTATTATTAGAAGGATTATCTTAGAAAAAAACTATAAATATGAGAGGCAAAGTGGATTGAGATTTTATAATTATGATCAAAATAAAAATTAAATGAGATTTTATATTAAGGATTGGAGGTAGTATTATTTGGTGCCGGATAGGCTTTTTTGGTGTGGATTTTTGGTAAAGCTTGGGAAGGAGTTATAACGATGAGAAGCTTTCCTGCCTACCGATGCATACGTTATTTCTTACCCTGATAATTCACAGTAATTTCAAATCATAACGTTTTTTTTCTTTTTAGAAAACTAAAGGTAAATATTTAGAGGCGCATGCATATAAATATAAGACAAGGCGGCGAGCTGTACCAAATTATTATCACCTCGCTATTGTCTGTTGATTGGGCCACGCGTGACTCTTTAGCCCGGAATCAAATGCCCAGGCCTACTATGTTTTCTAGGAAACTAAACAAAACTCCCAAACATAAAGGCGGAAAAGAAACGAAAACTATGAGGTATAATAACTACCAATCAAAGAATGAGAAATTTTATTACTAGAAATATGAATCATCCATCAATACATAATATAGAATCAACAAATGATGAACAGTGCATCTCATCTGGTTTTAGTAAAAAGCCACATTAAGCTGCAATATCCTACTTGTTTTTATTATGCCTAGCTAGGGGCTCAGTTAATACCTAGAATAACCGCTAATCGCTAGCACTTCTAATGCACATCAGGAAACACCGGATAAACAGGTCGCATGTCAGGATAGAACAGTCCGAAATGTTGCTCTACACCGCCAGGCTTGAGATTCTCATTGAACATCGCAAACACAAAACCTTCTATGAAAGCGTCCGGCCTCTTTGGTGTTCCTGCCTGTGAAGCAATGCGTCTCACGAAGTTCTGATTATAAGTAGCGGCCATTGATGTAGTTGTGAGCTCCCCTTTACCAGCAGAAGGCCAACCACTCTCAGAAACCACAACGTCCACATCAGCAAATCCCACTTTCTCCATTGCCCAGAAAAACGAATCGATCATGGCATCAAGCATGTTACAATACCCAAAACTTCCGTCCTGAACTACAACGTCCTTAGCATTTAACTGAGCGTAGTCCAAGCGTATGTTTTGAGGGTCAGACGCATATGCAAAATATGGATACAAGTTAACCAAAAGAGGGTTTGCTTGAGCTGAAAGGAAACCCAGAATCCCAACCATAGCCTCCTTCGATTCGTCTGAGAAAACAGAGAGCGAAGGTGGATATGAAGTTCCGAAGACAGAAGTAGGCACCGAGGTGGTCACAGAAATGCCACTTAAATGAGAAGCATCAAGTATGCTTTGAAGATTCTGCATCACAGGCAGCACGTAGTTAGCCAAGTTCCCTGGAACCACCTCGTTTCCGACAACAATGAAACGAAAGACGATGTCTTGGGAGTATGGTTGTACGTAGGTTGCGAACCACTTGTCGACGGCTTCGATGGTGGCAGCCATGGCGGGTAAATCTTCGTTTCGAATGCCAAGAGTGAGATCAATTTGGGTGTTTCTGAGGGCTTCAAGCACAGCAACGTCAGGGTCGAATAGCCTCATCTTGGTTATGCCGTTGTTCCTGTAGAGTTGCACCACTTGAGCCGGAGACGGCAGGTCGTTTCCAAGTCTTCCGTAGTTAACACCTATAGCAACGAATGCTTCAGCCCTTGCTGCTAAAGCACATAACGCAAGAGCGACTTGAACAAGTGTCATCATCATTCCGCCTGAAAAACCCTGCCAAAAAAAAAAGAAGTTTTATTTAAGCATGAGGTTACAAATGTAAGAACCTTCATGAAGGGAAGCAGTCACCTAGCTAATTATTCAAGCAAGCGAAGCAACCGTTGGAAAATTTGACAGAAGAAGCAGTTTTTAATTAATTACATATAGATTTGCTGAACAAATCACAGCGCGAAAACTCTTCAAGTTTCTAATAAAGCTTCGCACCTGTTTGTCTTTATCATCAATATATATAGACGTTTCTATCAGTATAAAGTGTTCGCTTGAAGAAGGGGTTAAAAAACTACGATGAAGAGTTAAAGACTACAGAAAAAGAAAACAAAGTGAAAACATAGATGAATTAAAGCTCTGCCAAACGAACAAGAAAGTAATTGAATTCCAGTAACTTACAGATTTAATGGTACTGCGGAATAGAAGATGGATGAGCTGATATCAGTGACGCTTCTAATTCCTTCCTTGGGCTTTTTATATGTATATATAGAAATCCTACTCTAACTTTGATTATATGTTTCATGTACTGTGAATGACTGAATTTCCTCAATTGCTTGCATGACAAGTTATTCACCAGTTGCCGTGCTTCGTGTATACGAGGAAGTAACTTCCACTAATGCCCCGTTTGGTACGGTGCAAGAGTTAATTCCTTGACAAGGCACAAATAGGTCTCCTATATGCTCGGTCATTAACGAAATTTTAATTTCCTTTCATGAGATAATATCAATATCATTAATAATCAACAGACCTCACACAAAAAGTTCATGGAAAATATTTATGCAAGAGGGAAATTATACTAGCTAGAGGCAATGCAATATCCCAGAAAACGCGGTTGGGAATCAACCATGAATACATGACTCAGGAGGTGTTTGAATGGAATCAAAACCATGGTTTTAAAAGTATTTTTACGGTGTACGAAGTAAATATGTAGAAGAGTTTGTCTCGTTTCGAGAAAAAATACTTTCAAACACTCCTTGAATTTCAATGCTAAGCATGACGAGAGCACCAGGAGCTCATCATTTGTGCACACCGTTTTAATAAAGTCGAGAAAGAGTTCTCTCCATTTAATTGCCATGCGATGTAGTTTTGTGGAATAAAAGCCCTGTTTGGATAGTAGGCCAAACTATGGTTTGGGAAAAAAACAACCCAAATAGGCATAAATTATCTGAAACCATGGTTTTGGAATCCAAAACCATGGTTTCGGGAAAAGTGAATCCATTCTGCTTTTGGTTCAAATTGAAGAGTATGATTGTGCCTATTAGAATAAATCTCAACAATAATATGACTTTAATACCCCTTAATTAAGTTTTTATAAACATATTTAATCTTATATCTTATAAATAAATATACACATATTAATTATTTATTAATTATATTATCTTATATATTATTAATTATGTTGGTAAAAAATATATTATTAACAATTTTATTCCTTCAAATTAAAATATATCAAACAATCTATGTTTTATGTAATTATCATATTAACTTATGCTTTTTTTAATAATTTGTACATATAAAAAGTGCTTCTGATAACAACTATCCAAACACTCTTACTTCTCAGAATCACTTTTTCACAAAATTTATTTTTTCCAGAATCTATTCTCCAGAAGCTATTCTCCAAACCATGATTTGGTTTCATCCAAACACACCCAAAGTCAAGGAATCGAAGTTCCCTCCATTCAAGAAAAGTTCTTTTTTTTTTTTGTAAAAAAAAATAATGAGCAAGTTTTTTTAATAATGACTGTTCAATATAGACAGTACATAGACGGTACAGATATGATGAACTTAAAATGCTTATCAAGGTAATTAGTACTGAAACCGGTTGCCTCTTTCTAGGCACCTCCTTAAGCATCTTGCCGACATTATTGGCTCCAAAGACTTTGTGAACATTTGGCGAACTTGTGGGGCTCATCAGCTGGGAAATAAGGAGCGAAGGCGCAGTCATTAGCACATCTTCTTCGAAGCAGCTTGCAGCCTTCCTCCCTCTTTCACTTGTTCAATCACTTGATTAGGTGTTTACCTGCGCATGAAGACGATGTCGGAGAAGAAGGGGGAATAAACCGAGAGGACTGAAACGCTCCAATCCTTCAGAATTTCTATATCCACCTAGATTGCTCACCATCGAACGGTTGAGATAATTTCTAACTTTGATGAAACGGTGCGTAGTGATGATGTAGCTCCTTGTGCTCATCAAGCCGCGTCGCATTGAAACTTGTTCCCCGGGGCCAAGGCTTCATGTTTGCATCCTGTCGTCCAACTTTAATGAAATTCCTCAGTCTTTGCCATTGTCAATATTTTCCATTCGTAACCCGGCATTAGCATTACTTTGAAATTTTAACCAAATTCTTTGTATGAGCTCAAAATATCATGCCAGAAACTATGTCGTTTCCAGAGAACCATCTTGCTCCTTGTTCTTCTTTTCTTTTCCTTTTTTTTTTTTTTAAATATTTGAAGGAGATAACCTAATAGTCTGAGGTTCTCTGACCCATGGCCTGAATCTTTCATATCGTTAGGCTATAAGTTCATTAACTCTTTCTTTCTTTCTTTCTTTTTTAAATACAGGAATTAATGATTATCAAAGGATGTGAATTATAAATTATTTTTTGGTGCCTAGCTATACTTCTGGGTAGAAATTTTTGCTACAAAATAAGAGGTCGAGTTCCAACGTGGGAGCCTTCCTGCATATTGATCCGATCCATCTGTTATTTCTCCTTTGGCCAGCCGAATTGGTGACCGTTTCTTCACTGGGCCACTGTATTTTAGCCCGAAATCTTCAAATGCATTAGGCCTACTATGTTTTAGGAAACTAGACAAAACCTCCCAAAAAAGAAAGCAGAAAAGAAACGAAAATAACCTAGCAAAGATATCCAGCCACCAATCTTAAGAATGAGAAGTTTTATTACAAGAAATATGAATCATCAATCAATATCAACAAGTAAAGTAAAAAAAAAAAATCAATATATAATATCAAATCAATAAATGATGAACATTACATCTCATATGTTTTCAGTGAAAAACACATAAAGTTCCGATATTAGCCTATTTGTTCTCATAGTGCCCTAGGGGCTAAGTCAATACCTAAAATTACTGCTATAAGCCTATAACAATGAGGATCATCAACTAGCACTTTAAGTTCTAATGCAAAAGAGGGAAAACCGGATAAACAGGTCGCATGTCAGGATAGTACAGTCCGAAATGTTGTTCCACACCAGGAGGCTTGAGATTCTCATTGAACATCGCAAACACAAAACCTTCGATGAATTTGTTTGGTCTCTTCGGTGTTCCTGTCAGTGAAGCAATGCGCCTCACGAAGTTCTGATTATAAGTAGCAGCCATTGATATAGTTGTGAGCTCCCCGTTACCATCAGAAGGCCAACCACTCTCAGAAACCACAACGTCCACGTCAGCAAATCCCACTTTCTCCGTAGCCCAGAAGAACGCATCTATCATAGCATCGAGCATGTTGGAATACCCCAAGCTTCCATCTTGAACCACAATATCTGTAGCACTTAACTGAGCATAATCCAAGCGTATGTTTTTAGGGTCAGACGCATATGCAAAATATGGATAGAGATTGATCAGAAGAGGCGATCCTTGAGCTGAAAGAAACCCTAGAATCCCTGTCATGACCTCTCTTGATTGGTCTGAGAAAACCGATTGCGAAGGAGGAAATGAAGTTCCCAAGACAGTGGTAGCCACACAGGTTGTCATAGAAATGCCGTTCAAATTCTGAGCATCCAGTAGCGTTTGGAAATTCTGCATGACTGGGAGTACGTAGTTAGCCAAGTCTCCGGGAACCAGCTCGTTTCCGACAGCTATGTACGCGAAGTCAACGTCGTCGAGGTATGGTTCTACGTAGGTTTTGAACCACGTGTTGACAGGTTCCATGCTGGCAGCCATGGCGGGCAAATCCTCGTTTCGGATGCCGAGAGTGAGACCAATGTGGGTGTTTCTGAGAGCTTCAAGCACAGCAATGTCAGGGTCGAATAGCCTCATCTCAGTTATGCCGTTTTTCTGAAACATCTTCACCACCTCGGCCGGAGGTGGCAGGTTGTCTCCTAGTCTTCCATAGTTAACACCTACAGCAATGGACGCATCTGTTCTTGCTGCTAAAGCACACAAGGCGAGAGCGATTTGAATGATCAGTATCATCATTCTCCCCAAAAAAAACCCTACAAAAGAAAACAAATGTAGTCAGTATGTTTCATGCATAGCAGAACGTAAATTTTTTTTAGTTTTCTTGTAAAGAAATCCTACCTTATTCAGGCAAGTGAAGCACCCATTGGAAAATCTGACAGTTAAAAAGTAGTATAATTAAGTATATATAGATTTGTTTTCTTTGATTAGTGGTTTGCCGTAAAAATAACTCTGGTTCACGCTTAAACTCTTCTACATACGGGTAATAAAGCTTGGTGCTTTTTCTTTTTGGGTACTAAAGCTTTGTATTTGTTTGCCTTTATGAATAATAGGTGAAAAAGGTGTTCTTCAAAAGCTTCAATAATTAATTAAGAGTTAAAGACTACAGAAGCGACAGAAACCTAAGAAGAAACATATTATAAGAAGCTTTACATTTCTCTAAACCAGTCATAGACAAGAAGAGGAAACGAACAAATTAAGCTTACAGATTTAATGGTATTGCTGAATAGAAGAGATGAACTAATCACAGTACGGTGATGCCGATAAGGTGTCTGTACGTAATATTCCGACATTGGGCCTTATCTATATATACACATATGTAAAAGAACTATTCTTATTCTGCCTTTGATATGCCAAATCTACGTGATTCTGATAAGATATTTGTTTCCTTTAATGTGAATTTCCTCAGTTAATTGCTCAACAAGTTACTCATCAGTTTGCCGTTTGTTTCCCCTTTTGACAAATTAGGAAAGTTTTTTTTTTAGTAACACAAATTAGGATAGCTGGCTTGCGAAATACTAGCATTCACAAGATAATGATATCAGCATCGATTTGGGCCAACGGCGATTTGGGCGGTGGCCCAGAAAAATATCCCAAAGCAGTGGAAATTGTGAAGGAAGTTTTTAATTAGATTGTAAAATGTTTTCGTAAGAAATGGAAGTAAGAACGAGTTTTTTATTTTCCTTTTGAGCGGATTATGGAAATGAGATTTTTTTTTCCAACAACGAGATAAGTGCTTGGTATGCCATGAGAAAATCAAGAATGAACTATCGTATTTTATTGGACAATAGTAGTGCCTCTCATTCATATAAAATTATATGCTATTTTATCTTAATAAAAATATACCATCTTGCCACCTCAGTGGAATGGAGAAGCCAAAAAATATACTATCTCCGGTTTTTAATATAAGAGCTAGTTGACTAATTTGAGTAGATTAAGAAAACTAGTTAAGTTAGTTATTTATAATAAATATATATTATGTTTTCTAAAATATCTTTACTAATCAAGTGTATTGACTATAAATTATTATTATTGTAAGATTTCATTGAAAGGAAAAAAAGATAAATATGAGAGACAAAGTAAATTGGAATAATTTAAGACTAAAATAAAAATCAAATAAATTCCTATATTAAGGAACAAAAGTGATGCCTAGCATAGCAGTTATACGTTGGGGCGTTTATTCCGTTCCATTCATTCTAGCCAACGGTAGCATCAAAATGAGACAAAAACCTCTGCTTATGTAACAATACTAGCTTGATTTTCCCTTCCTACTCTTCTAGATATATTTTCCCAATACAATAATTTTATTTATAGTTTTCTCTTTTCAGACTAAAACTAAGCGGTATGTACTGTAGTGCTTGTGAGATAATGAGAATCAAACAATTTTTTTTTGAGAGTGAAGGACTAAATCCTATCATATAGCCTTAATAACTCAACTAATCAAATGGGTTATATTTAACTATTTTTTTCATATTCATGAATCCAATAAGTGAAATAATATTCATTTACACTATCACTGAGAATATCATAATAATAACATATATACCAATAAAAGGACGCGACATAAAATTTGGCTAAATGTATATCTCTACATTTAATTAATCCGTATCCATGGCTTTGGCCAGTTAAGTATACACCCAATTAATGTTGACTAATTATCTCTTTTTTTTTTTTTGATTGCAGAGGAAATGAAAACCAAACAAACTGAGAATCAAAAGTCGACAAAAAATGAACTATCCTACACCTTCTGCGTTCAGCACGTTCATGACGCTAGAGGGGCCTAAGATCTGAAATCCCGGGCTAAGGTTCAATGCGAACTTGGCGAGCGTATCAGCTCTTGCATTATCCTCTCTTCGGCATTGCTTCAAGTCGATTCGCCAGTCTCTGTTAAGGACTTGCTTCACTTCCATGATCAGGTACCAATCCTCATGTAAGTCAGGGACGTGACCTCGTATCAGGTGCAGGGCCTCGGAACAGTCCGATCTCAGCACAGCATCACGGATTCCCATATCCCAGGCTCGCTTAAGGCCGAGGAGACAACCCCAAAGCTCCGCCGTCAAGGCGTCTCCTGAGCTAAGTCTTGAGTAAAAGCCTTCCTTCACCTGGTTTGAGTCGTCCAGGATAATGCCACCGCACCTTCTTTTGCACCACACATATGTCATTTTATAGCAGTTAATATACTATATTTAGTCCTAAATACAAGAGCTGGTTTGTAGTATAATTTACATTGCAAACAAGATCTTATATTTAAAACTGAAGGTAGTAGATTATCACGTGTTGCCTTCATATAGAGTATATATTAGTCATGATTGTCATATAATACATTTAACATTTTCTCATACTCGGCCGAATAATAATCATATGAATTAGTAGACTGTAATGGATTCTTATAACAGAGTATGTTCTCCTAGATCTGTTGTGCTAGTATGCGGATCACAATGGCTTTAATACCTATAGAAAGCATATATATATATATATATAATATCTATATATATATATAAACCTAAGCAATGCATCATATATACTTAAAAAAATTAAATTATCCTATAGTAACCTCAGGTACCGTAGCTCCGCTCCTGATGATAAGGACCATGCTTATCCATAATTTTTGTTAAACTGAAATTTTCATACAAGAGGAGACTCATCACGTCAACTCCTTCTCTTTTTGTTATTAGTTTAGTTTTTTTTTTTTTTTTGAAATCATGAGCAAATCTTTAGCTTCTTTTTTTTTTTAAAACAATAATATATTGACGTAATTTCTTAAGAGACATGACTTTCATAGTTTGGCAAAAAAAGATATGAATTTTGCAACAAAGACTGTAAAAAAAGGAACTTAAAAGTTAATATTTAAATTTGGTAAAATTAATGATTAAATACGCACCATTGAAATTAAAATATGACCTGAAACCTGATAAATGTTTCGTGAAGTTATAATATTTTTTGGGTCCCTAAAATCATCATAATCTAATGTTTTGAACGTTATCGTCGGCGTCGTCATCAGTATATATATGAGCTCTAGATACTTATATTTTTATTCATATATAAATTACACTCATAAGCATCATGCTTGCTTCAGCAAGCACTTTTGAATGAATTTAAAGAGGAAAAACTGGATAAACAGGTTGCTTAGTAGTCGGCAAGAAGAGCCCAAAGTTTTGCTCCACACCAGCAGGCTTTTGATTCTCATTGAACATTGCAAAAATGAAACCTGGAATCACAGCGTCAGGTTTCTTTGGTGTTCCATTCTTTGTAGTGATTCGCTTCGCGAAGTTCTTATTATAAGTCGAAGCCAACGTTGGACTGGTAAAATTACCATTTCCAGCAGAAGGCCAACCAGTTTCAGACACCACCAGGCCCACATTATTCACTCCCACTTTCTCCATTGCCCAGAAAAATGCATCAATCATGGCGTCAAGCATATTCTGATATCCTAAAGGTCCGTCCTGAACCACGACGCCTGGAGCTGTGAACTGAGCATAGTCCAAGCGTACATTTACAGGATCAGAAGCATATGCGAAATAGGGATACAGATTGATGAGAAGAGGATTTTGAGTGTATGCGAGGAATCCCAGAATCTTTATCATGACTTCTCTGGAATTGTCTGCGAAGACAGACGCTGAAGGAGGATATGAATTTCCAAAAACTGAGGTAGCCACGCAGGTTGTCACAGAAATGTTGTCTAACTTCCGACCATCGAGTACGGCTTGGAAGTTCTGCATAACGGGAAGTATGAAGTTGGCTAATTCCCCTGGAACCAGCTCGTTTCCGACGACGATGAACTCGAAGGCGACGTCGTTGAGGAAGGGTTCGATGTTGGCGGCGAACCAGCCTTTGACGGCGTCCATATTGGTAGACATGAGCTGCAGATCCTGGTTTCGCACGCCAAGGGCGACACCAATTTTGCTGTTTCTAAGGGCGTTAAGAACATTAACGTCAGGGTCGAATAATCTCATCTTGGTGATGCCGTTTTGCTGGAACATTTGAACAACCTCGGCCGGAGGTGGCAGGTTGTCTCCTAGTCTTCCATAGTTAACGCCTATAGGAGCGACTGCTTCTGCTGTTGCTGCTAATGCACACAGGGCTATGGCGATTTGAACAAGTCTCATCATTTCTGCCCAAAAACCCTGAAAAAAAAAAAAGGAAAACAGGAAACAGTCTTGTAAGTCTGCCAAAGTAGTGTCTGGTATATAAAGTATAAGGACATAGCACAGAACATCATTTTTATATAGTGCTCGATTTATATGTAAAGTATGATGATTAAATAAAGATGTGGCAAAATAATTATCTATTGAAGTTTTTGTTTTGACTCTCAGAACAGGAATAGAATAGAGTGTTGACCATTTTAAGAGTTGATAACTGAACTCTTGAAGTATTTGTCTAATAAGAGACAAGAGTTCTTACTAGCTATGTCGCGCTCGTGAGACAGTAACATTAAATAAAATAGGACACACACACACACACACATATTAAGCTATACTAGATTTTGACTTCTGCAAACAAAGGAGGGGGAAATAAGATAGTACCTTAATCTTTTCTTTCTTAGTCAGATTAAGCTACAATATTTGGTAGAAGATCGAGGGAATAAGTCACAGTGAAGAGAGATGGAGGGATATATCCCTATTTATATCCTCAATGCATGGCTCAACTTATCAAAGAGATAATGTTTTACTATTTTCTCACATTCATGAATCCAATTAATATATTTATTTAAGTAAAAAACTATTCGTTCACATAACTACCGAGAATATTTCTACTTTTTCCGATCTTAAATATAGGAGCTAATATGTAAAGAATACTAGAAAACAACCATATCTAACTAATGGTGACTATAATCCTCTTATTCTTAGCTCCATGTAGATTATGTTTATCTTGAAACCTTTGACTATGTTCTTATCTTATTATTATGAAGATTACACATCAAATCTATAGTCGTATATATAGTCATCACATGAAGTCTATCATCAATCTAATGCATTTTCCCCACTTGCTCAAATGATTACATACAAAATTAGCAAACCGTTTTAGATTCATAGAAACTATGGCCTGTATTTCATATTTTCACTTATCATATCTGCATGAGGTTTATCCATAGCCATAAGCTGGTCTCTACTTGGTCGGAGTCAACTCATGCTGTTTTATATATCCATTATATATACCAAAAATATTAAAAAGACAAAAAATTAATTAGGGTTATTTATCTAGATACATGGCTTTGACCAATCAACTATATCTAATTAATGGTGACTATAATTATCTTGTGACTGGTCATATTTTGCAACATTTTAAAATGCAGAAAATGTGTTTATCTTTTAACCTTCAATATAAACTATATGTGTGTGTGTGTGTGTGTGTGTGTTCTTCACATGGTTATGAAGGTCGCATTAAGTCTGTCAACATACCTTTAATTATTATATGTGAGCACAAAAATTAAACCACTTTAATTTAAAGCCATCATAAAAAACAATTTTTGGATGCGCTCCGTGGGACATATTCCAGTAGTGTTAATAGGGGGAATAGCAGATCGTAAGGCCCGATACAATTTGAGACTAATTGGTACGGATGCAAGGGACTCAATTCCTACGAAACTCCGAATTAAGGAAGATGCAATGGAACGTATAAATGGGGTCTGGACAGAGATTGAGCACTGTCGTCCCAGTAATATAATTGTTTAAAGGAAGACAATTATTTTGAGCCTGCAATTAATTAACACCATAATGGGATGGAAGAAAATTGATGTTTCACAGCGATTGTGAGGTGGCCATTATTAGCATGTTAACTATATCGTCAGACTCAGACCGGACTATAGCTAGATGGAAAATCGGTCATATGTTCGATCTGGTTTATTTTAGTTGTGTTGCTTTAGTGTTATATATTTGATGATTTATTGGTGTCTGCCATCAATTGTGGAAGCTTACGCCAATTTGATTATTGGACAATTAATCCGGTGCATTTAATGATCTTAGTGTTTTGTAATAAATAATGGATATGTGATTGAGTATAAATTTAATACGTATGATAATGATATATGAACAAATATTGTCCAAAATAATTTTAATTTTATATACATTTTTTTAAAATTATATTAATTTAATTAAAATTGGTTTGACCACGGTGTGACTATTGAACTTTGAAAGATGGTCAGTTTAATTTCTGCTGAACAATGGAAATAATTAACTAAACATAAAATGTTCATCGATGCAAGTGCATTTTTACTTACATTAGTATAATTGGTCTTTTTCTCTCAATTTTACTATTAATTGCGTTATTGCTTAAGGGAAACTATGATTGTTGGAGTAAGCAATTTTAAGTTTTAAGGGCAAATTATTTTTTTAAACACTTTTACATGAATTTAAATTAATAAAAATTGTTTTTTATGCTTACAAAAAAATTAATTCACTCGATAAGTAACCAAATTTTTTTTTCTTACTCGAATCAATTTTTCTCCTTTAATTGCATTCCCAAATATGTTTTGAGGAAATTATTATTACAACGACAACACATTATAATTATTTTTTTAAAAAAAAAGACATCTCTTTTTGCTTTGCTGTTTCAACAACAATTTTCTCATATTTTATCCGGAGCCTTTGAAAACACCCTTAAGTCTCTTCACTTCTTCAAGATTAATCAAAGTGGTGGATGCTATCACTGGACTGGCCAAATTGCTTTGGAACAGTGCGAGATCCAAAACTTGGACTGGAGGGCTTGAACTGCTAAACCCTACAATTGCTGTTCCTGAAGTGTCACCTGAAAATTAAACGAAATCATGATCATAATTAACACTAAAATATTTAAGCATTAATACGAATATATCAAGGAAGATGTGATAATGGCATAAAAATAACTCTGTGTTAATTACTAATTACGCACCTTCGTTAAAGGCAAAGTGCAGTAAACCAGGAGGAACAACGAAAACATCTCCTTTGACGAGAGATTTTTGATACACAGTGTTGTCTGATGAAATGAATCCAAATCTCACTTTCCCTTCCAAAAGAAAAGTGATTTCTGAAACCCCAGGATGTGAATGGATGGGAACTGCAGAACCTTTCTCAAAATCTGCACGAGCCATGGCGAATCCAAGAGTATTCAGTCCAGGAAGCTGAGCATCGAACACAGGTTTGAACCCAAACTTGAACATATTTGTGCTGTTGGCTGGAACATGTAAGCCAGAGAAAACAAAGTCATCCACAGTGACTTTCTTGGGATCTTTGCATGAGAATCCATTGGGACCAATCGGACCTGCTTTATCTGCAACACAGAAATCTAATGCAGAAGCTTGGAAAGAGGGGGAAGAAATGAGGAACAGGACGAAGGAAACGAGAGCAATCATGTTTGTTTGCTTGATATCTGTATTGAAGAGTGATTCTAAAAGTGTTTGGTTAGCTTGCATATATAATACGTAGAGGCGTTGAAATTTGTTAACCATTGATTGCTTGATCTTTATTGTGAGATGATATGGCCTAATGAATGATACAGATTCATAATTAAATACACTTTGAGGCCAAAAGAAGTTGATTATGCATTGAATGGATCAGACCTTCTAATTTAATTAATATTAATAGGCTCTACATATACACACACCATGCTCTTTTATGTCTCATGTTCTTTAAAAAAAAAAAAAAATATGTAAATAAAATTAATGTGCCATTAAAACATTTTCCTTGGACAATAATTGATAAAGGAAATCTGGAATGAAAATGGTTCTGTGACAAGAATTCAGGTGTTAGAAAGAATATACATTTACTTTGATGATAGTTTCTAGACTTTTATTAATTTTGTTATATATTTTAAAAATTACAATTAATTCTTTATACTCTTTTCAATTTTATCATTACGGTTTTACTTTTTTTCCGTTTAAAGGATCTAAATTATAGTGACTTAATCATCTTGACATTTTTAGGCCAAAGAAAAGAATCATCTTGACATTTAATTTCAACATTAATTCATGATATTTTTCGCCATAGTATCTTTGAGGATCTCTGGCTATATAAAACAGTGGAAGGAAGCTGAAAAGGCAATAAATCAAGGGACCGAAACAATAAAGCACTAACGGTTATTTATCTTTAATTTTGGTCAGTTTGGGCCATTATCAAATTAGGTTTACTCAATTAATCAGGGCATGATACTTTATTTTAGTTGAACCTAGGGTATCCACTGCCAATAGTGACTAATCTCTTCATACGGTAAACTTTTTGAAGGAGTTTTAGTGTTTGTCACAAAACCTTTTCCATACACACTATCATGGGTTGAATCCTAACTAGATGCTTAATTGAAATCAATCATCAACATCAATATATAAAATTACAAGTTAAAAATAATACTGTCTCCTCGTGAGCTATATATATGTACACACACATATACATATGTTGACTTTCTATTGGTTTTTTTTTTCAAATTTCAATAAACATTTCATTGGATCTTTTATATTGCTTCCTTTCTTTAAAATTTCATTTTTTTCTGCATATTTTAAGTGAGTTTGAATGTTAGAAAAATCAATTTTAAAAAAATTTAAGTTATTATTTATCTTGTGCATTATGAGGAAAGAAATTCTAGTTTGAATACACACACACACATATATAATATACATTGAGAACAATCACTTTTTTCAAAAGGGATCCATCATCATAAATGAGAAATTGTCATTGAATAACTTTAAAAGTAGGTCAATATCTTGTGAAAGAGAAAAACGGATCTTGCAGATCAACATTTGACGAATGAATAAAAATCAGAATTATTTTTTTCCCCAATAGATTGTCAAAACACTTTATAGTTTTATATGAATAGAAATGGATTTAGTATTGATGGATGAAATCTAAAATTTTCATTAAACTTCGCAAGTGAGAAAATATCACATATTCACCGCGACAATACTCTAACTTGACTTGATTTACACACACACACACACACACACACAGAGATAAAGCTTTCTTAATAGCATAATGTATTCAGCTTCTAATTAAAAATAATAATAAATGACCAAAAAATACTAATAATTAGGAGGATTCCCGTTTCCAAGCAAAAAGAAATGAATCAATCATCATAAAGGAAATTAATCCTACGTAAACTTGAAATAGAGGAACAATACTTCGGTGACCCGATATTATTTGTCAGCCAATATTAGTTGTTTTTGAATTTGAAAATTTAACATCAATATATATAAGAAGTCATTTTCATGTTTTCAATTGTTAATTTTGACAAAAATTAAAATACCATCATCCTTAATAATTGAATCATGAATTCCACTTGATTTCAATTATTGGCTCACACTCAAAAGGTCATTCGTTAATTTTTCTTTGAATATGAATTGTTAAAACTTAAAACCTCATTTATGTAACACACGGTACTATTAAAGCGCAAAAAAAAAAAAAAAAAAAAAAACCCCCACAATGTCATATATTTGTTAAAATGATGGATGGCTTTCGCTGGGCATAGCTTAAATTACCAAGTCATCATTAATATAATTTGACATGATTACCAAGTCATCCTTCATGAATTAATTTCTAGTGAATGAAAAGAAACTAAATCCATGAATATTGTCATAACTAAGTCCAAAAAATTGTTTCCAAAGAGAAAAAACAAACATGATTATGCAGATTTAATTTTATGTGAATTGATGAATGAATGAATTCTCTTCGATCGTCTTTGTCATCAATTCCTTGGCTCTACAGACTACAACATAATTGTTATTGCCTATAAGACCGGCTCTGTTAGGTTGTTGAAAGCTCTCAGCATATAGGATGGAATGGACATATATATAGAACTTCTAATTTTTCTTTTCCTTCCAAAGTGCAGAATCAGTGTTTCGTCGGCACCAGATGATGCTCCAAAAATCTTCATCTCAGTTTGGACATAATGTAGTTTTATAAATACAATATTCATAGCATTATGTATTCTTATTATTGCACTTCTGAACTCAGGGCCTTGTAATGTGAAATTTGATGCCACGCAAAGGATGCGAGATGACCCTATATGTGGAGGATTCTAGAATAATCTAGAGGCATATTTCAAGAGGATTACTATATGATTACTGTTTACATATTTTCTTCTGGCTTCTATAAATGACGACTGCTACCAGCAGTACCAGGACAACTCAAAAGTACAAATAAATTGGGGCTAACACAAACTTCCGTACTTTAAATTTATTTTATTTTGATTTTGGTCTTTCAAGTTTTAAACTATAAGTTTTGATTCCTTAAGTTTTTTTTTATTTAAAACATTAGTTTCTATTATCTAATAATGACTTGGATCATTTTACTTTTTGAGAGACCAAAACATATGGTTTGAAATTTGAGAACTAAAACAAAATGAGACATATTGACCCAATAAATTATTTCAAAGAATATTTGTAACTAATAATAGTTACTTCAATTTTCATAATCAGCAGAGCCCACACTGAGAGTGCTGTTTATCACCAAGATGAGCAGTATTGAACACTAGCCAAGTTTACATCCTACTTTTAGTTGTGTGTGTGTATAAAACTGATATCTTGTGAATGATTTCAAACAAGGCTCTTCTAATCCTTTATGTCAAATCTATTTAACTAATTTGATTAGATTGAAAAAATTAGTTAATTATAAGAAAATGACATGTTTTTTTTAAATATTATAATTATCTTTTTT